AAATTATTAAAATGAATAAAAAATATATATATATATATGTATGCCATTTTTATTTTCCTCAATTGAAAGAATCATTATAAGATATATAATTTTAATGCGTCCTTTGATAATATTTTACAAAGCCCTCAGATCCTAAAGGCCTTGTCTTAATTCAACACACAAGTTATTTGAACATTGATTGTATCAATTATCATTCATTTACAAAATATTTAGAACCGTTCATAAATTGTTTAGAATAGAAGGTGCAGCGCGAAACCCGAGCACCAGGTTAGGGTTTAATATACAAGCTTTATGGAGGTAAGTCAATATTAGTAAATGTTTAATGTCGCAGAATAAGGGGATATCGCGTTCAATATTAAATGCTTTGGCGACTAAAGTAATCTGGCCTTATCCCGCCAAAACACAGATACGAAGATAATGATAACTATATTTACTTTCCTGAGTATTGGGTTTCTTAAGAAATGTTTAACGGGAATTCCATTTGTGTAAGTTAGAATGGCTACAATTAAGGCAGTGTTCAGGGCCAGTCAAAAAATTTAATGTTTCTAAGGGTTCCAATATAAAATCTATGATTGCGGGCTAAATTCTAAGAAAAGAGAGGGCAGTCATTGTTAGGATCTTGTAAAAATCTGTATACGCATGCTCTTAAGCTAAATATTAGTAAATCAAGCGTATGATAATTTATTTGCATTATATTACGGTTTATATTAACAATTTCAAAACTTTATAAATATCTAGGGTACGAAAAATAAGAAGGATTTTACTATTCAAATTTTCTTTATTTATTCATATCATTTATATTTCCCCCTTACCTTATTAAATAAGGTATATTCTTCTCGGAACATCTGTGGTAGTGGCACATTTTTTCTTTCGACTATTCTCTAAAACAATTCCGGTATTCTCCTTACAAGGATTAATATTAGTGATTTAACGGATTCTAAATTTTTGAGCATCTCTTTCAACGATCATTATTTTTTCTTCTCTACCTCATACAACATTTTCCTGCTTTTCTACATTATTACTCGACCAGATCTACATTTCAGCCTGTATTTATTATTTTACTTACATTGCATCATTGATATCAAATTCTTGAGTATCGGCATCATTTTGTCGTGGTAAAAAATTTTTTTTTCCATATTTCCTCCTACATTTTGTCGTCAAGGGATTTGAAGATTTGATTTTAAAACTATACGATTATTAATTTTATGGCGATTTTCCAATTGTTGAACATGACTCTTATTTGTACCGATTATTAATTAATATCAAGTTGGAGAAGTAATATTGTACCAGATAAATCGTACGATATTTGTGAAACGGCAAATATTTAAGATGCAGTTTTATGGTCTATAAGGAGTTAAAGATTACGAATTCTCGGCAAATTGATAATGTGAGTTATAAAAAAAAAACGTTAGTCCCTTCCCCCCTCTAGCATTTATAAGTTATATAAAATAAAAATGACGCCCACTAACCCGTTTATCGAGCGCACAGGCTGATAAAGTCTGTATTGTAAGTGCACCAAAGTATTTTTGTTATTTAATATGCTTTTTTTTTAAAAAAAATTCTTATTTTCTTCTCCAACAGCACCTCCTCCGTACCATGGTACTTTTTATTAGGGTTTGTGGGCTGTAAATTCAAAAATTTTATACTCACAACTACATGTATCATCGAGTGTTGTAGAACGGCTAACTCTATATCTTTATCCAGATAAACATTACGCAATCCTGAAGATTTTTCTCGTATGTGACCTTGAAAGTATAAAAAAACTATTGATAGCGAAATATCGAGACTTAGGCGAATATTTTTTTGACTAAAATATTAAGTTAGCCGTTAGCCATTTAACAACATCAGTATCATCCCAAATAGCGCGTTACGGCTACCTTCTATTTTTTAGAAAAAGTAGCGGCCTTATATTAGCTAATTTTTAAAACTGCTTGGGGATATTTTTCAATATTTTCTTGGATAAAATATTGAGTTAGAGGCTTCACAACACAAAACCGGCTTTGAAAGTAATTTATGAATGTATTGGTTGTCTCCTCTCCTTGGCAAATTTAGTTTTTAACGGGTCGGTTAATGATTCTCGATAACGGTTCTCTTTGTAATTTTTAATTTATTTGTATATATGTCTATTACAAGCCATCCTTTCATAATAATAAGAATAAGAATACGACTCAAATTTCTTTATTAAAAAACACCAACAACAATATCTATACATTATCAAAAAAATTACAAATCATAAATATCTAATTATCTAAATCTTCATGTCCCAAAGGTCCATTATTAGTTCCTCGCTGACATCTTCTCGAATTAATCCAAACTCTTCATCCCAAAATGGATAACAAAAGAATCCTTTCCCCATCAACCCATCATGTGTTCATCACCTCCTCTTCTTCCCCCAAGGAAAACTTAATTCCCCTGTCAGAAAATAACTGACATTTGATGTATTATATTAAATTTATTTCTTCTTTTTTTCAACAGTTACAACAATGTCGAATTTGGAATTTTAAATCCTTTACCGAGAGTGATTTATAAAAATTTTATAGGTCGATTCAACCGAAAATGTATTCTAGCATGGGTAGAGGACCCAAACTGTAAATTTCAAACAATTTTGTCACGAGCCTTAGAAGTTACTTCTAAATTTACATTAATTTTTTATATGGATATTTCATATAAATTAGAAAATACTATAAAATGTCTACGGCTGAAATTGGCTGAAATTTATAGGGTAAATACTCTACACATGCTGGAATTTCGATTCCTGTAAAAATCAGATTTTTAAAATCCAAAAACTCGCCCTTAGTAAATTATTTAGAGAGATTCCGAAACCCCATACGGCATATATATACGGATTAAATTTTCTGGAGAACTTATATTCGTACCTCGAGATATTTATTGGTACAATTTTTTTTTTAAATTTTGGGGCCACGGAACTGGGAAATTTTCAAAATATATTTCTTACTATTATAGCCCAATATAGGGTTATTTTCTAATATAATATTTTCCAGCAGGTTCTAGAAGGTTTTTTTAATAGGGATTGGATCCTAAAATTTTATCATTTAAATTTAAATGCATTGTATTTCCGGTATTTCAATTACAAAATTAAAATTACCTAATTAAAGTGAGATGTTGTTCATTTTTTTTATAAAAAAATTTACAAATGGTATTAAATTTTGGATATGGGTGTTTAGGCGCTATTTAGGGATGATACCTTTAAATGTCAGAATAAAATAATTTTTGAATGACAGCCCACAAACTTAAAAGTAGAGTAATCATGGGCTTGGCCCGGGATCGATACCCGGGTTCGGGAATTTTTCTTTTACAAAATATTGAAAACGGTTCGGGCTTGAACCCGGGCTTGATCCAAAAATTAAGGTCCCACGAAAGTCCGCTTTAGGGAAGGTTGATTAAACGGCTTCAGTGGGGCACGATGGTCAGTTTCCTAGTGGGGCTCAAATTGATTTTGTATCGTGGAATCTGCTGTTACCTTTTCTCCTTTCCGAACTTTATAATAATGGAGTGGGTTACGATTCCGAAAATTTCTTTCGGGAAGTCCCGGTAAGAATTTTGGCGCAAGTTGCCTAACCCATTGCCTATAGTATAGCAAGGTCTGCAAAACTCAAACTGCCAATGGGTTGAAAAATTATTATTTTTCTTGTATTCGGGGTAGGTTGGAAATTCTCAGTGTTGTAAATCAAGGTTCGATCACATGTCATAATGTCGATCATTTTTTTTTTAACATCCTAATCATATCAGTTGTCACTTCAAATATTATTGCAACGCGATCGTAGAAATTTAGTAAAAATCATAAGAAATAAATCTATTTCTGAAGCAGAATGATATTCCCCAACGATTTCATCTCTCTTAAATGGTAATATTACAACATTTTATTATTTGATCAGATGGTCTTTTTTTTTATTATTGCAACTAATTTCTTTTAAAGAACTATTAAGAAGTAAATAACGTGATATCCTAATTATCCCTGTGGTCCGGGTTTAGAATAGGATCACCGTCTCCTCGACGGGGAGTGTAAAAACCACCTAAAGGGGGTTGATGTCAGGATGGGCATCAGATTTTAAAAAACACGCAAAAATTTCCTAATGATTAAATCAGAGGGAAAACTGGCCAACCTGGGTTAACCTGGAAATCGCCATTAAGCGCAGAAGAAGTTCTATTTCCTTGTTTGGGCTTCAAAAGCAAATCATTGCCAATTTTAAAGGGTATTATTCCCCGTTTTATATACCTTATAAGAGATGTTTTAAAATAGGGTAAAAAGTACCCATTAATTTTGTGACGGGATACATATAAACAATAAAAAAAATATTTTAAAAATAATTTTTAATATCTGATTTATCACGGTTTCTCTAAAAATGTTTAAAAAACTGGTTTTCTTATTGCCTAATAAAAAGGTAAACTAAATATAGGGACACAGTAAGTTGTAAGTGTTGTATAACGATTATCGCCTTCCGTATAGAAATATTTTAGAGAATAATATTTGACAAACTATTTTTTATTGAGTTATAGGTATAATTTTGATATAAAAATTGAAAAATGTGTACAAGATTGAGATTAGTGAGGTTAAAACTGAATACTTCATCCAAAAAAAATATTACACAAGCCTGAAGATTATGCTCATTAAAGTAACAAGGGTCTAGACATATATTATCGAAATTTCTAAGCTTAGGCAATATTTCTCTGGCTAAAATATTGAGTCAGCTGTTTTAAAGAATCGGCTAAAAACTAACCGTTTCACAACACTAATTGAGATGATGGTAATAATTGTTATTCATTTTTTAAAAAAAATAATTTAATAACGTATATATAAAAGGTAGTAATAAGTTAATGTTATATAAATAATTTTTTTTAATAATTCAAAATTGGAGTTACTTTGCATAATTTTAAAATTAATATATAAAAAAAATATATAAATTGTCGATAAAATAATATTATATAAATACATGATTGATGTAAACAAATTTAGAATTAAAAAAGACATGGCGACAAAATCATTTAATTCATGTCTTATAAAAAAAAAAATTTGCCATTATTACGCGAAAATATGCGAATTATTCTACGATAAAAATTCGTTTTACAAGTAGAAATATATAAACATCGGGAAAAAAAAACTATAGTTTAATTATGTAATAATAGACATAAATAAAGTTTAAAAATATAATTTTTTTTTGAATTAGTATAACTGGTTAAATGCGATTTTTAACTTTTTTGGTGAGAATTAAAAAGGCTCATCTTTCTTATCCATCATAGGTCTCCATACTTTAGATAAACTAACAACGAAGAAAGTTGCAATTCGTGGTTGTAAGCGTTCTTGAGTTTTACTGATCTGATTCCTATAAGAAAAATACAAAATATATATTTTTTGTTAGAGTCTCTTTATTCTGTATCAGAGACCTGCAGAGGGTACCATTTCACTCAACCGAGACCGGTTTTTTTTTAAAAAAAATTTCTGCCCGTCCCGGGTTTAATATTATTGGACCCGACCCGGGTTTTTCTGAATTTTTAATTTTTAAATAAAATAAAATGGTGGCCCGGTCCGTGTACCCTGGCCTGCAAGTCTATGATCTAAAATTTATAATAAACATAAAATTTTTTCTTCTTTTGGAATATCTTGGAATCGTGTTCATTGTGTATGTATGTATAATTTAATTATCATTTTTTTTTCTCACCTTCTCTCAACAATTTATCTCCGATTGGGTAAACCGCCTGGCCAATCAAGTGAGAGTCCCCAAAATCGTCGCTATGATAGACCGCTAGCCTGAGCAAGCATAGCTCGGGATTATGAATTCTAATATGGCCGAACTTTTCGTTCCAAATTGGATTGAAGCCATTCTCATCTGCAAATGTTAGGAGGGTGGAGGAGGGAGAAAAAAATATAAATAATATTCGAATTTCCGTTTAAGATAATCAATTTTTATTTTAAAAAAATATGCCTAAAACATTAATCCATGGTTCCATATAGCAAATGCAAGTGTTTTATTCAGTCGCTTTGTTTTAAATTAAATTGTTTTTTTTATATGTTCCTTTGTTTAAAACTTGTTTTTTTTAATAATTAAAAAATAGATAAAATAAATATTAGCATGAAATGATCAGGATAATAAAAAATTTTCATATAAAAAAATATTGGTAGATTTTATTTTAAGGAGATGATTTAGATATTACAAAAATCTACAATAAATTAATCGAATATATATTTTTTCCCACAAATATTGTAGTAGTTAATTAAAAAGATTAGTGCATGATTTTTTTTCCCACTTGAAATGAAAATGATTTCCATAATATTTGGAACCCCAGGTATTGCAAGAAAAGACCAGTAATCACAGCATCCTGAAGTGTGTTTTTTTTGGAATTTTCTTACGAGTATTCCTCTAAGATAATTAATAAATTTTTTTTTGGACTTTTCCTGGAAAATTATGCAATGATTTGATTTCATAATATCTGTTAATATATATTTTTTGAATATTTAAACTTTTATATTTTTCTTTTTAAATGAAATGATCTTTTCGCAATTCTTTCTTTTTTCGTTTTTTGAAATAGATTTATAAAACCTTTTAAAAAAAACAATATATTTTAATATGTAAAAAATGTATTTTTTAAATGTATATAAAGCCTGTAAAATTTAAGTGTAGATAGAGATATAAAAAATAAAATAAATTTAAAATTTAGTATGATGACAAATTATGGGACATCCCAATAAACTTCAATAGAATAGTTAAAGAAACAAATAAGGATGAAGAATTAATAGAAATAATTGATAAAATTAGGAGTAACAACCCGATAAAAAATAAAACGTACAAAAATATGGAGATGGAATTGAGCTTGATGAAAGATTGTTTTTTTAAGGAAAACAGAATAATAATACCGATGAACATGAGAAAGGAGATCTTACGTACGAGGGACATCTAGGAGCAGGCAAAACGAAATTTTTAGCAAGAGATTACTTGTGGGCGGTCTGGTATAAATACAGAGATAGATCAAGAGGTGAAAAATTGTGATTCATGCAATAAATACACAGATAAACCCACACAACATACAAAACTCATGGGAGAAATCAACTAAGATTTTTGAACGAGTACACATAGATTTTGCACAATTTGAAAATGACTATTTTATGGTATTTGTTGACGCGTATAGCAAATTTCCCAATAATAACACGTATGAATAACTTAAAGACTTAATCTACGATAAAAGAATTGATGAGAATTGTTAGTTTATTTGGAATACCATACAAATTAGTGACGGATAATGGTACTAATTTTACTAGCTATTTATTTAAAAAGCTTTGTGAAGATCATGGTATCAAACATATACTCACAGCACCGCATCATCAACAATCGAATGGGCAATGAGAACGCATGATAAGAACGATGAAAATGAGCATGAAAAGAAATATGGAACACAACAAGAAAATAATGTGGGCAATGTAATCGAAGTGCGAAGAAATAAATACGCGATTATTATAAAAACACTTTGCCCCCCTCCCTTCCATTTTGTTTTGAAAAATCAATAACGAATGAATGAATATAAATATACCTATAACAGCCGTTTTAACCTTGTACTGATCGAACGGGGGTCCAACTATCTCCAACTCGACGTAGGGGCAGCAATTGGTAACGTTATCGCGGGTGGCATCCTCAAAACTTTTGTCGCTATTAGCGGGCTTATTTTTATCGGCGGTACCGGTCGCGGCCATAAACTTATTATCCGCTTTATCCAAGTTACCACGGTTAGCGAAAGACGGGAAATTGAAAGGCAGCAGAAGCTTCCTGGAAGATTTTTTTAAGGGCCGCTTTAGGTGGCAACCTGAGAGAATCTAATATTACGATGTTAAAATTGTCAGTTTAAAGTTTGTTTGTTTTATTTTTTAAAAAAAATTAAATTATAATATAAAATTATTTTTTCTCGTCAAAAAATAGGTGTTTAAATTACCTAACTTTGATTAACTCCAGTGTGTTAGTCAAGATTTTCTAAAAAAACTGAATTAAGACTCTAAGTTGAGTCTCGACTTGAAGATCGATTCGATTATTTTTGGATAAAAACAGGGCTACGATGTTTTATAATAGTTGGACTAAAGTTGGTTAGTTAGTTTAACAACAACTAGTCAAAAATTATAATTCTTCGACGGTTCAAAATGTTTCTACCCCTCGAAATTTAGAAATTATATTCTCGGACGCTAATAAAAAAAACGTATAAAAAACATATAAAAAACAAAACTCATTTTTCTACGAAAATTTAAATGGTTATTTGTCTTTTGTATTTTATAATAATGGTGGCTAAATAACAAAAAAAAATATAAGTTTGCGAGACGAGATTTTCCAAAATATTTAAAAATTGTGAAAAAGGGCGGGAACCGCTATTTATATAACGCGTACGCGTGATCATTTATAATTTTAAAATCGCGAAAATATATCCGTCTTTTATTTTCAAAATCGATGATAAAATATCAACGTTCTAAAAAACATGTTAATATTCTCTGTGTCCTTGATAACTTTTTAGCGGAGGGGGGGGGTGAATATATATATTTTTTTTAAAATACCGTTAAATGCATAATAATAGGTTTGTAAGAGGGATTATTCTTTTGGTATGGATCGAAATCTTCTTTTAGCATGAAATCGGGTTTCAGAACGTAACCACAGCTGTTTATATAGTTAAGGTTAAAAGAAATATATATATAAAATGGCTAACTCAGGAGTGAATTCTAAAATATTGTATTATTTTTCTCAATTTCGAAAAGTATTTTAGAATAGCATTTCGGTATAATAATTTAAAAGGATGAAAGAATGGTTTATAATTGGCAACGAAATTAAATAATATAAAGATTGACAACCTGCCATTCCTCAGGAAAAATCCGTGATTAATTTGCATCGTTTTATCTTTAAACGTTAATAAAATTTAAATAAATAAAAAACACAATAAAAATAAATAGAGTTTTTTTTTTGAATTTATGTAATTTAATAGATGTGGGCTACAAATATATACATGTTTATTTTATTTTTTTTACCGTAATTTATAAAGATTCCCATTGTTTGTTATATATTCCCTAAATTATCCCAAAACTATCTGTTACTCCTCAGCAAAGACACTAGTGAATCGCCATATAAAAAAAACATGATTTTCTAATAATTATGTGTCAACAATTTAGCCAAACCTATATGAAAATTAATAAAGAAGACTGAGAGTGGTCATCTCGTGCGCAAATAAAGTGAAATGGCATACGCTATAAGAGAAACATTCTGCCATTCCTCTTTTGGAGATATGTAAAACCATAATTTTAAAATTAAATCATATGAGTTATCCCAAAAACCGGGAGTCTGATAATTGAGCGCCACCATGTGACAGCCGTGCAACCAAAAGGGCATGGGGTCGTAATTGCTGGAGTCGATCCTTTGAGCCTTGGGGTAGATCCTGATTAGCTGACGGCTATTGCGGTTAGCAAATTTGACGTTTATGCCGCAATTCTTGGCGTTCTTTCCGCGTTTACGGTCTAGCGAGTTTGAATCGCTTGGATTTGGTTGGGCGGAGGAGGAAGGGAAAGGGTTTATAGGACCGGATTTGGAGGCTATTGGTTGGTGGTAGGTGTTGGCATCGACTATAGCCTTGGTCGGGTTAGTGAGAGTGCGCAGAGAAGAGGAGCTCACGATAGGGCCAGCTGTAATAACATACTTTTCGCCCTTCGTTTCCGATAGGGAGGACATTTCATAGTACCTGCCCTTTTCTTTGATACAAAAAAGGCGCATTCAGGGATTAAAAAAAATAAATAAAATTTTATCTAACGTTTTCTTTGTGCATTGCTCTTGTGCGTGAATAAGAAATGTCACTCGAAATCGATCAAGTATCGTATGAATTACCTTAAAAGAGTAAAGTAGCGTTGTTTAAAAGGCTCGATTAGCCAGAAAGATATTGCCCTGAAACCCGAGATTTACTGATGTTCAAAGTTTTGTGCTATCTAATATGAGTAAAATCTTCAGGTTGGCGCAATAGTCATCTGGATAAAATATTGAGTTAGTCATGACTCAAATTCGAGCCTTTTAACAAAAACACTAGAGTACTCAATGCAATAGATTTAGAAAAATTTACTTAGTATATTTAACGGCACAGGTCGGCAATAAACGACCAAATCGGACATTTCCTTGGCTAACCGCATGACAACCTCCCGCTTTTGACAAGCCCTTTCCTGGTTAATTTTTTATTTTTTTATATTATTTTCTATTCAGATATCTAAAAAGTGAAAATAAATATAAATACATTTTTTAGAAAAAATCCGGGTCAGGGTGGTGCAAATGGTAACCTATGCGGGTCATTTATTTATTTAGTAGATAGAACAATATGATTTGGCAGCATGTAAAGACATTTTTAGAGATTGTATTCCCTTGAAAATATCATTCTACATTTTGAGCAACACGCTGAGAATCCGCATAGAAAACCGGTCTCCGAGTTAGAGGTCTGACTATGTACCAAGTCAGCTGACCAGCGTTTTATGCTCAAAAAATAGGTGCAACCTTTTTTTTTTCTCCCGCCAATAAAAAATGTCCTACTTTTATCATGGCTTTATCCACACATTTTTCATATTAAGCCCCAAAAAAAGGTAATAAATAGATTTACTATTATATTTAATCAAATTTGTTTTATATAGTTAAAAAAGTCAATAAATATATATGAAAAGGAAAATCATATAAATATATGCATATATAAATCAAAATTATTAAAGCCTCCGTATAATACTGATTTAATAGAACAATATAGATATAAAAGAATATGTTATGTATGTAAGTATTCTTTAAAAAAGAGGTCAAGTTCCTCTGGATTAAGAAAGACCTCAAGTTTTAGAAAAGAATGCACTTTTAACTTTGTTAGATTCAAGCATGATTCCATTATTGGGCCACATCTAATAATTATGAAATTTATAAAAGAACATAAAAATCATGATTTAAGTAAGAAAATATTTATTTTAATATTAATCATTTATATTATCTAGATAAAAACACATACATGCTCTTGCCTAAACAAAGAAAACTTTCTCCTACCAAAAAACAAATTGTTGAGCAAGCTTTAGCCTTTAAGGCTAACAAAGTTAAAATACAAGACTACATACTTAAAACTGGTCAAATGGTGACACTGAGAGACATCCACAATCTTTCAGCAAACCTAAACAAGCCTCCTACCACATGTTGTTAGAAGTTATTAATCAATTAAAAGAGGAGAAGGGGGCCATTGTAGAAATACATGAAGAAAACAACTTTTTTTTCAGGACATATCTATGCGGCATAACGTAAAGTGTTATCCCGAAGTCCTCTTTATAGATGCTACCTACAAACTTAAGAATCTTGGTATGCCTTTATTTATTTTATTTGTAATTGATGGACATGGCCAATCTCAAATAGCAGCATTGTGGCTTGTAAAAGGTGAAACATATAATTGTGTAAAAACAACGTGCAATATATTTAGGAAATATAATGTGATATAGATAGTATTCAAGTGATAATAGGGGATAAAGATTTTGCTGATCGACAGGCTTTGTATGAAAGTTTTCCAAAGGCGGAGATACATATTTGTATTTTTCATGTTATGAGAAGTTTTAAAAGAGAGATTACGACTGGTAAGAGAAATATTGGAGAACAAGAAGTGAAGCTGGTACTTGAAATTCTCCAAAATTTAGTATGTGCACAATCAGAAGGACAATATGATTCACTATATTTAAAACTTCTTAATTTAAATTTGCCAAAAGTAACATCGTATTACAATAAAAAATGGCATAATATAAAAACTGAATGGGTTATTGGACTTAGATCTAATGTTCCACATTTTTTTAATTCAACAAATAACAGAGTATAGTCAATGGATCAAAAATTTAAAGCAGTCATCACAAAATTTTCAACTCTTAAAGGGCTGTTTAAGGACAAAGTATCTATAGTTAATTCATTGGCATTTGAGAAAGATTATAGAAGCACTATGAGCAATGAAAAAAGCTCATTATTTCCATATAGTCCACTATCAGCTGAGAGCAAATATAGAAATTTGTTGACAACTTATGCCTTTAAAATTATACTCAGTGAAATAAATCTGAGTAATTCAATCAGATTACCAATATTAACTAATGACATGTTCACGGCCATAGAAATAAATGATTTGGGTAATATCTACAATGTATCTATTGAAAAGTGCTCTTGTGGTTATCTTACCACAATGCTATTACCATGTCGCCATCTAATGGCATTAAGGGCTGCTTATAATATGGACAAATACTATCCTGAACTTTGTAATGTTAGATGGACTAGGGCCTATTCAAAGATATGTAATCTTGAACAACCACAAACATATACTACAGACATATCAATCACATCATCTGCATTCATGAATATTAAAAAAAAATTATCACAGCAACAAAAATATAACAAGATATTAAAACAAATGGTATCAAGTGCTGGCTATATATCTAATCTACCTCAAGACAATTTTGACCTTGTATTTGACCAAATTCAAAAAATTGAAGGTTGTTTTAGGGATGGTAAATTATTCTTTGTCATACCATCAGATGAAAGTATGGAGATTCATTCTCTGATTAGTGGTAAACAATTGGTAATATATTTTTATTTAATAATAATTATAAGATCCTGATGACAAAGATGAAATGGGAGATATTGTTTCTGTATCTACCTTAGAAGATAGTGGTAAAAATTTAATTTCTTAATATAAATATTCTATTAAATAATAACCAGTGTTTTATTATCTCTTAGCTTAAGAAGTAATTGTATATTTTTAATAAAAATAATGTTTTTATATTTCTCACCTTCGCAATACTATAACATTTTTATTTTATAGATCCTGATGATCTCATTATGAATAATGAATTAGAAAAAACTAAATTGGAACAAGAAAAACAAGACAATATTAATAATTATTTTCTTATGTAAATAATTTCTTTTCAGACAAAGAAAATATAGATTTTGATAAAATTCTTAGTCTAAAATTACCAGCTCGAATGAAAAGGCAAGGCAAGCCAAAGAAATCTGATATATCTGTAATAGGATTATCTAAAAAAGGAAATAAAAGTAAAAAGAAATATTTTGATATTTATAATGTTAATAAAGAAAAAGCAATTAAAGATGACAAATGTAATTTTGGTATTAAAAGTATACCTAATTTGGCTGATGACATAGGAAAAGGTATATATCATAATTTATTTATGTTATTATTTTAAATAGGAACACCAATTATAACCAATTCTCAAATGGAATTTATAAATTTTATAATCAATGAAAAAAGAAATGCAGGTTACATTTAATATTTAAAAATATCAATATATTAATACTTAAAATTAGGTGATACACAACTCAAAAATTTGGGCAATCGTCATATAAGTCATAGTTATTATTTTTAAAATAACATTTATACTTTTATTTTTCTTAGAAAAGTTATCTAAACTTTTTCAATTGAAAACAAGGCGGAATGGATCATAAATAAAATTTGAATAAAATTCATAATAATGAGATGATTGAGTTTGATGACATTCTTACTCATAAAAAAGATATGCAATGTCTAAAAAATGATGAAGTGGATTTTAAAATAATAAAATCATATTTAACCAGTAATGCATGGGTAAAGGTTCAGGGTTTAAAAGAAAAGATAATGGCAGAGTCCTGGATTTGTCAGAAATGCTATTCTCTTTAGATGATGATGCTTCCATTTCGTGTGATACTTGTTTGTCCTGGTTTCATTTCAAATGCCAAAAAATTTAACCTTCTAAAATTAATTGGTTTTGTGAAAATTGTTAAATTTTATTTTATTCGTATATATTTTAATTATAAAATGATTGTAATTATTTATGTTTTTATTAGCATTACAGTTGTAAATGAAGTGAATATTTTTATTGAATAAAATTATTTCAAATGAATTTGTATACTTGTTATCTCTTATTTAAGTTATGTTTAGAATTTAAGCAAAAAATGTTTTTTATAGGATAAAAATATATTTTCTTATAACCATAATAATTAATTCTAGTATTTCTTTTATGATTTTATCTTCATTAAATTTGCTTAAATTTTGCCAAAAAAGAAACTAGGAAAATTTTGAAATTATAAGTGAAGGATCACATCAACTGTCTATTTTAAATCATGACACAATTAGATATGTATCTAAAATTTAAAAATAGAATAAAGAGGCTATTGAAGATTTGAAAGAGTAAAATTTCAGAAAGATCATAATTAATATAAAAAAGGGAAAAATTGGAAATAAGCTGTCAATATTTTTAGATATTTTAAAGATAAAATAAAGAAGCTACTGAAGATTTGATACCATAAGAAATTAGTTAAATCAAAGGTGTTATATATTATATATATATATACTCATTTTAAAAGTAGCTATATGCTTATCATTTTTTAAATTTACATATAGAGAATTAGTATTTTTTATATTGTTAATAACATTATTTATATTTGCCATCTAAAAGATTGTCATTATCATCATCATTATTTTTATTTGCAACCTGGATGCACCTATCCGCAATTATATTTGCCATCCAAAATATTGTCCATAGCAACAAATATAGTTGCAACCCTGGATGCACCTATCCTCGGCCCGTTTTATGACTCAAAAAGATGTAGGGTGGTTTTTTTTTTAAAAAAAGAGGAAAAAATTACGTTCATTTTAGCGCTATCTATGTATTGTCTGAGTTCTCTGAGCCATTCGTTAAGTTCGTTTTGCGAAGGGGAGGCCATCTCCACCCGGTGGCAAGATGCGTAATGACGATAATTGACCCCGAATTCCGATTCGTTGATCGCCAAGTTGGGAGGATTTTGATTCACCAACTCGACGCTGTAATACAAATCGTTAATGATTTCTTGGCCGTGACCGGAAGAATAATCCAACGGGGCGGAGGGAGTGAAGGCGAGGTCGGCCAAGGAAGAATTGGTGTCTTCAAAAAATTTTAAAAATGTGTGTATATTTCACTATATAATTTGTTTAAAAAAATGAGGTGGCCATTTTAATTTTAGAAATTCGTATATTCTCGAATGTCGAAATTTTAGACTTTTGTAAGTTATATTATCGTCTGCCTTTTTTTATTTCATTTACAAAAAATATTCCATTTAGGGTAAAAATATTTATTTATTTGTTCCATGCTATACATTATATTAAAAATTTATATATAATTGAATAAATTAAGAAGAGATTTTAGTGTCGCCCACCCCTTTTTATTCTCGAGTAACAAGGTTTTGCCGGCTTCCTTTCGAAAAACGAAGAGTTCTGGAAGAAACAGCTGAGGTTTTTCAAGATGGTTTCTATGGCCAAACGGTAGTATGACCAATGTTACTCGTGTTCGAAGCGCTCAACTTGTACGAACCCTTCCATTTTGCAAAGCAATATCCTTATATTAAAAGCCCCGCAAATAATCAATTTTTCTAATTTTTATTTTTTAAATTAATTTTTTAAGGCCGAGTAATAAATTATTAGTTTTGTTCAAATACTATAACAAAATTTAATCATTTCTTAACTTCTACTAATAACGTGTCAATTTGACAGGTGAGTGATTAGCAGAGCACACATCAACTACTTCCTGAATCCATAATTACTTCAAAAAATCCGAATGCCTTATGAAGAAATAAAAAAAGAATAAGAAAAACTCTATCAAAAATGGAGTTTTTAATTTCGTCAATAACTTTTTGTAAGCTTATTCTCTATCATCAGATTATTAAAATAATTTGTTTTCTGTTTTAGATTAAAATGTGCCATGAAAAAAAAATTTTTTTTTGTACAAATGATTTTTTATTAATACAAATTTTTTTTTATTTGAAATCGAATACGAATAGTAAACTATTCGATTAGTCGAATAATCACTATTCGATTCATATTCGTTTTTGGATAGGCTGATCGCATAGTTTTTTTTTCTCTAAATAATGGCTAACCTAAATATGTTTATATACTAAAAACAAGATGACTTTTTCGGTTTTTCTTTGAAAAAAAACAACAAATCATACTTATTAAGCATCCGGCAAGATCCATTTCACCCAAACAGTATCCACCCAATCCAGAATTTTCCTTTGCAAAAAATATAAAATATTTTTAGAGATTTGGGTGCTTAGATCGGATAAAATTTCTAGAAAGATGAAGATCAAATCCCCTGCCACACCCACTAACAAACCAATTTAAAGGTTTTTAAAAGCATATTTAATTTAAAAATAAAAAAATAATATTACTTCTTCAGATCGATTATTCTCGTTTGAAGAATTGGGCATATGAAGCGAATTCCATTCAACCACGTGATTAGCGGGAAACCAGTGTTGTTTTTTGTCCCTGTAGTCGCCTTTCCACCTTTTCGGGCCCGGTCAATTGAAGTTAGTTTTAAGCAATTATATAATAAATTAATTTTTAGTTGTGGTGGAAGGAGAAAGTCTAAAACGCCCTGGAATTTTTTTTCTTATTTCATCCATTCTAAATCAATGGGAAATAGTATCAGATGTTGAGACCTGTTTAGTGGTCCGGTCCAATAGGACAAATCCCCCACAAAAATGGCGCGGAAATTATGAGGGTTATTTTAAGCTCAACCGAGAAAAATTTCTCGCAAAATGGCGCGGAAAGTTTAAAAGGTTATTTTTTTTGTATAAATAATATACCATTCTTTATCGAATTTACACACGTTGACTATGATAGCATGTTTGTAGAAGGACAATTCGTCTCCCCTCCTGGCCTTGTAATCGAAAATGGCTTTAGCTATGGTCTTTAAAAAGAAAAAAAGAGTGCCGTGTTTTAATTATTGGGTTCTTTCTTTCCTTCTTCCTTCCTTTCTTTCGTTCTTTCTTTCATTCTTCTCTATGATCCATAGAGTTACCCTGACTCGTTTAATAAAGGTTACAAATAACGAATAAAATAAAAAAAAGTTGCCATAACGCTTAAATATTAGGGTATAATCGTGTGGAGTGAAAATCCGAAGACCATCAAATGCCCGAAATTTTTTCGGCCATTTTCTGGTTGGTGGGTCACCTATATAAACGAGAGTAAGGGAACGGAGAATGTCGAATGTAAATCTATTCTAGAAAAATCGATTAGATGTGACGATAAGTGTCACTTTCTTCCATTTAGCAAAGTAAAAGATATAATAAATCGGCCAATCATGTGTTTCATTGTATAAGCTAAAATGAGATCAAAAATATCTTTTTAATCATTTTTCTTTCTCCTTCTTCCTTTCTAATATTCCTGATTTCATCCCTTTAATTTTAAAAATGAACATTTTTAAAAAGGATATTTTATTTGGAGGCAACCTTTTCTAGATAAAATTTATCATTAATATAATATAATTTAAAATCATATAAATTAAATTAATTAATTTTTTTAAATTTGAAGGGATGAAGATCTTCATAAGTTAAGAGTAGGTTTAAGTGGGCATGTCTTGGACAAATATTATTTTTCTGGCTAAAACTGAAAGTCCTGGAAGTCGCCATTTTTCCTTATTTCTCAATAAAAATATTTCATTATGCAGTGCCAAAAAAAAATCCTGGCGACGGCGTAACGCCAAGGTTTTCTAATTGATAACAAACTATATTTTTAAAAAAATTATTTTATACACTTTACATTTACACATTATATGATTTAGAAAATAAATTTTACATACAGGTTGTCAATCTTGGAATTATTAGCTCAAAGTAAAAAAAAAATTGATATAAATAAATGGAATATAATGAATATAAACGTTTGATCGAAATTCTTTAAGATCCACGTATACGCTGGGAGTAGTGGTAACGTATAGCGCGGTATGATCGCGAGAATGACTAGATTTTATGGACTCTAAATTGCTCTTTGTGCGAAAGAGGGGGGAGGGTTCAAAAATAATAATAAATATGTAAATGAATTTGTAAGTCAAAAAAGTTGTTTTTTTTATTAAAACTTTTGCAAAAGCGATAAATAATACAGGATTCCTTTCGAAATTTCACCTGTTAGAAACTCTAATCATTTTTTTTTAAAAATTCTCTTCCGTCAAATTATATATATATACAAGTAGAAAGAATTAAACTTTATAATTGAGAACACTTCTATTATGCTAACTTATGATCAATAAAAATTGATCGATAATGATCTTTAAAATGATTAGAAGTTTAACAGACAGAGGTTCGGTTCTGGTTCACATGATACATACTTGACGGTCTCGGTTCAGTAGTTAGACAGATTCAGAACAAATTGCTATATTTATTTAAATAATATTAAACTATCATTGGTTGCGTGACTGGGGTTACGAGTTTGCAGGACTTGTAGAAATTATTGACGACGAAATATTTGACTAAATCGTTCAGAGTGGCAAATTCTTTGTCGCAAACGGTATAGACAAAGGTTTCTATAGGCGGGCAGCGATTGTCGTTCAAACCGTCAACGGAATGCCTCTTGATCCTACAATGCTTGTTAACCGCTTCCCATCTTTACAAAAAAAAGAAGTGTAGTTAGGCTTCATTTATACTAAAACGCGATATGTTCAAGCGATGCGTTATTGGGTAAATTTGATAAATATGAAGAGTTATGATGATAACGCCATGATAAATATCTATTAAAATATTGCTGTGTCCGCTTAGCGTTAAATAAAGCAACGCTTGAATATAACTCGTTTACAATAAATGGGACGTTACGCTGCATTCAGAGTTAGAGTGAATTCGAGGCGAGGTATAAACAAATAAAAGCATATTTTGAGCCGCGAATTTGCGCTAACCATGAATCAATGACATATAATAATACCTAGACTGACGATGCATTCATTAAAAGTGTACATCAATGAAAACAGCTGGAGACGCCATTTTGATTACCTATATCATTATTAAAAATTTTAAAATGTCGGAAGCAAATATTAAAAAATTGCCAGATTATCGAGATAATAAGGGAAGCAAGTTATCAATTTTAATAGTAGTTTTTTTAACATGAGAGTAATTACTGTACGGGTTAGCAAAATGGCGAGTCCAGCTGATTTGCATTCAACGAAGCTTTCAGATGCATCGTCAGTCTGGGTACTATTTATGTCATTGCTATGAATGAAGGTATTGTAACAGTTTTTTCGCGAGAAAGCAGACAAAACCTCGTTACCCAGATGAGAAAAATAGGGCGGTGAGGGGGCACTCCTCATTATCAGATGTTTTATTATACGCAAATTTAATTCAATATCATATTATAGATAAAAAAATAACTTATCCTTTAAAAATGGAAATATTTATAATTCGATGAAATAAAAAAAAAATGCAGACGATAATAATATAAATTACGAAAACCAACCTCACTTATAAAACAGGATCTGCGTTACATTTTTATAGAAAGAAAGAAAGAAAGAAAGAAAGAAGAGAAGAGGAGAGAAGAGAATGGACGCTAAACGCATGCGCCCCAATATGTGCGCAATATTAAACCCTATAAATCATCTCTTTTTTTTAAACATCATAAATTATAAGATAGGCGAAAATCGAAGACGTGCCTAGGTTCGAATTTTATGACCCGTCAAGGATTTGAAAAAAGATTATTCCTAAGCCAGGTCCGGACTTCCTGTTTTTTTATCAATTCCATTTTGCAAAAAATGTGTTTCAAAAAAAAAAGGAAATTTGATCATACGAAGAAGTAATCTGATTAGATATAATTTTTAATCGGCAGAGCCATGAAAGATTTTTAGATCTAAGCCAAATATTAAATATTAGGACTGTGCCGATATTAACTATGGGATCTGCACCGATATTTAACGTTTTTTAAAAGTATCTGATCGGCTAGATACTTTTTTTTTAAAAAAACAGATCTATTCCTATATTTGTTATTGTTTTTGGATATTTTTATGATTTATATATATAAATTATAAATTTTTTTTATTTTAAATTTTATAAATAATTTAATAATTAATAAATAAAAAGGAACAAATTAATATTTATTTGTTGTAAATAAAAATTATTACACTATTTTTTATTTTATGTAATATTATCTCCGACAAGAAAGTGATTTTACAAAATAATTACACATTCCGCTAGTATCGTTTAACGGCTCGATTAAGTTAATTTTTTTTAAAAACGGTCAACTTATGATTTTGGCCAATCAGAAATTAATCGAGCTTGTTGATTTTGTTCACAAGATGACAGAGAGGTTTCGACTTCTATTGGCCAAATTTTAGAGGTTTAGGTAACAAATTTGCTAAAAACAGCTGTTTAACAACACTTACATTCACCAAAAAACGATAAAAATATTTTAAACGAGAATTATTAACTATTTGGAGAAGAAAAAAAATACGCTTAATCAATCGTGAATGATATTATCATTTCATACATTTTATAATATAGTTTATTTAAATTATTCATTATGATTGACATTATATATTTTCTATTGAATGCAACAATAAAGTCATATGTGTAGTATAATTTTAGACGCTTATTTTTTTTTGTAAATGGAAAATATTGATATTTTTTATGAAATTGGTTCAAAGATAAATAAAAATGAATATAAATAACGGATCGGTTTTTAGTAATATCGGATCGAATGGGTGCAAAATTTGTGGATCGGCACCACCATAGATTTTTAGGAAAAAAAAACGTATGGCCCTGCACCGAATAGCTTAATTGTATCCGGACCTTCTCTTTTCAAATAAAATTATGTGTATAGGTTTATCAAATTTAAAATGATAAATCACCTAAGTAACAAAAAATGAAAAAACCTGAAAGAAATAGTGTATTTGTAAGGCGTTTTGTAAAGCGTAGACGAATGTCTGAGTAAAAAGGATCCCTCTACGTTGAGCTCGTCTAGAATAGCGTCCGCTCTCTTCTGGGTCATATCGCCGAAGTAATAACTGGAAAACATAAAAAAAAACAATGTAGCGTTAAGTTTGCATAAATACTAACCAAGATTGAAGATTCATTCATTAATAGTGTTAGCACATTGAAGTCAGCTGTTAGTCAGACTGTAGCTTACATCGCCGGACTTCAATGCATGTACACCTTTTTCTGATAATTTTAAGAAGGAACCGAGACTTGGTAACTCATCTCAGCACAACTTTTACTTTACCCATGGATTTCAGATGTTTTAAATTTAAATTATTGTTCATTTTAGAATCCTGGCCGTGTCGGACTAATTTAAAAATAATGTTGGAAAATCATGAATGGATCGTTTAATGTGTCAATCATCTTTTCGAGTTCCCTTTTTGAAACAATTAGCAAAATGCCGCTAAAATTAAATCAAAATAACCGATATTTTTTAAAAATTCGAGACCACATGTCGAAAAAAATGGTCAAAAATAAAAATCTACAAAAAAAAAATTCCCTTCGACCTCTGCGTTGGTAGAATTTTAAATATTCGCATTTTGATGTGCAAAGTGCACTTAAATATGCGAATTTAGGGCAACTCAATAAATATGCGAATATTGGATAATTTAGCCGTAAATTTTAAAAATTACCAATTCGAATAAAAAATTTAAGTTCACCTTAATGATTCGACCGATTCGTGTGTCCGCTCGCTATCACCGACCGGAGACCCAATCATATCGCCACTACTCTCCAGCGGTAGAGTTAGAAAATCACAGCTTTTACCGATGGGTTCGCCCAACGATACCTTGAAATCTTTGCACCTCAAGGGGTGCTGGGTGTAATAGTCAACTAGGGCGGATAGGTCGGGAAAACAAATATGGGGTGTTAGGTAATAGTTGAAAACCCCGTTCTCGAGATATTTCCATTTGATTCGGCAATGCTGGGGCTTGTTTTGCCACCTTTGCAAGGGTTGGGTTTTCATAAAAATTTATTTAGATCTTTTTTTACTATATATAGCAAATATAAATGAAATTTAAAAAAAAACAATTCAATTAAATTAGAGGGTGAGATGGGTTTTACTTGTATTGCTATATGGATCCATGAATAGCAACGCAAATATCGTTAAGCCTTCATAGGTAGAAGGCTTAATCGCTATTTAGCTAGCATTCATCAGGCGTTCTATACCCAAGATTATATACGCTTTCCATTACAAAGATCTACTGTTTAAGCATGAGTTATATATTGGCATAATGCTTCAGGCTCGAGTTAATATAAAATTTTAGAGACAGATCCGTGGCTCCAGACCTCTCTTCCATGAAAAAAAAGTGGGGGCATTGGTTTCCGTTCTCCATCACTCCCTCTCTGCTTTTATCTCTCGGGAGAATAAGCTGTTTGAGTCTATTCTGACCTGCAAGTTGTTATTCACACTTGAGTGAGCAATTGTCAACCTGGAATTTTGCAGACCCATCCACACTCCAGAAAGCTTTGGGAAATTACCCGAGGGTCTCATTCCTTCGATTGGATTTCCTCTTATAGCGTGATATATTGGAACAATGTTCCGCTTTCAACCAAGTTATTCTGAATCGGGCTACAAATGGTTGTGGGCGATTAACTTGTTAAATAAAAAAAACGGCTTTTTCCGCTTTGCCTTGGGGTACGATACATCGCTTCCTTCAAAAATTGTAATAATTGTTTGTTTTTTTCTACCCTTCAGATTCCAAAGGACAAATATTGATCGCTTTCCATGGCACACAATCAGTAACCCGATCTCAAAAATAAATCCAGAAAAGGGCGCCAATATCCCATAAACACTGGAGCTAAATCTCTTATGCTTAAGCAACATCAAGAGTTTTATAACCGAATCATCTGGTCTTCTAGTTTTAGGATTACGTATGCGTTGGTATTTCTAATTAGAATTGATAGAAACACCTCTGGGATTAGTTCAGCAGATAAAATTTTGGAAATAATATGGGGGCCTTTCCCTGACAAATCTATTTTCGTGGACTATGTTTAAATCGAATGAAACTTTGCATGATGATTATATATGTTGCGAGGACCTAAAATTTAATTTTTTATTTTAGGGCACTAACTCAATTACCTCCGGCCGGAGATATGGCGGATAAAAGCTAAAAAAAATGGCGTCGTTCCTAATACGCAAAAACTGATAAAAAAAAGGATTATTCAAAATATATAAATATATATGATAGAGAACTATATTTGATCTCGTTAGATAGCAGTTGAATTCCTTTTGTCTAATAATAATCTAATTTTTCCTTAAAAAAAATCTCAGCTGTTTCTATTTCTGGGAAAGAGAAACGTCAGTTAACTTCAATATATAATTTTATAAAAATTGGCATACATGCTTATTAAATGAATATAAATTAATATTGAAAAAGATTAGATTAGGATAACCATTGTTATAATTTTTATCGATAAAAAAAAGTCTTATAGATGGCGATGAAACAACATTTAGTGAATTTTGAAGTCATTGATTTTACATTTCGTGGTGGTATTTTAAGCATACTGGATTTACAATTCCAAATAAAAAAAGGTTGAGAGGGTCTATAAGTAACATTTTCTACTTGACCTTAGTGAGAACTTGAACAAGATCTAGCAGAATAATCGCCTTCGCGTGTATATTTTTGCCAATTGCCCATGCTTTACTAAATCTTTTACGAAATCAAATATAAGGAGTCCATCATTCATAATTTTTTAGGGGTAATCTATATATTTTACAAGTTTTTTCACTATTAGTAAGGACGCCATATTTTTTTAGTTTTCAGCCTTAACCCTCGGAACTAATCGAAGTCCTCATAACAGGCGCAAAATTTTACTACTCGATTTCAAAGAAGTTCACGAAACCTGATCGATTCCACGTGGAATGAACATGTGAGGGAGACACGAAAAATGTATGTAACATTTATTCCATTCGTCAACCCTTGGTTTCTTCAGAGATCCTAAGACATATCATATTATTAGGTAGAGAATTAAGCAAATTAATGATGATAACAATGAAGCTTTCAAGCCTATATATTCACCAAAGAGACTGCAAGTGCTATTCATAATTTCGTATAACAATACCAGCGAAACCCAACTCACCTTTTTTAATCGTTTTTTCTTTTGTAAATATTTTTTTTTAGGAATGTGTCCCTGAAAAAAAAAATAAATATTAAATTCACAAACTTTTTGAAACTTTAAATGGAAATAAAATATGTACGTTATTTCGATTATAAAAATAAAAACGTGTCCAAAATATAGATCTAGACAATTTTTATAAATTTAACATGGATTTCATTGAAATTTTAAAATTCGCTAATTTTTGAAACTTTTTGAATCATATTTTAAAATGGTTTTGGACACCGCCTTATTTATAAGATATAAAATAAAATTGAATTTATCTATTTTTTTGGTAACATAAATGAAAGGGTATAATCGCCTTGAAAAACTCCGCTATTTCTGATCAAAAATCGACCGTCTCCACCAGTCCCGCCAGCGCATTTTTTAAGCATATTTTCGGCGTCCCGCCTTGGCCTGGTTAAGGTGTGAAATAACCAAAGGCGACTGGAGTCGGAATCTTCCTGCGAAGACTCGTGACCATTGGATCGGTCTTTGGCGCTGATCTTGAGGTTCGAAGTCAGTTTGCGGTTGATATCATTCACCGTAGGTTTATCTTGATGAGGCCTATCCTCGGGGTTAGAGAAACGTGGATCATTGGTTTTGGTAGTATGTTGAGTGACTTTTCCCGCGTTTGACGTCTGCCCCGATACACTGGATTGAGTTGGGACATTTTGACGCGCCTTATGAGTTATTTCCGTCGCAAACGCAAGATGCGCGGATTTCTTTTCTATCTCGACTCCGTTTTCTCCATCGTCGAGTTCGGCAAATTCGTTATTATCCTTCGTATCCTTACTGGCTACAGTTCCGGCAAATTTGGCGGCATCGTTAGACCCGCGAAGTTCGGCACCATGGTTATCGCCCATATTTTGAATTTTATTCAAGGCCGAGGTAATATCCCCGAAAAAGTACAATTTAATGGCCGTTAGCACTAAGTAAAAGGGTGTCCAATTAGGAATCTTGGTTTTAAAAATTAAATAAATAATATATTATTCTTTTAAAAAAAATATTAAGAAAATTATGGAGAATTTATATTTATCTACGATGCGCGTAGCATTTTTTTTATTTATTTATAGCAAATAACGTAAAATTGTGGCGCCAAAATTAGAAACATTTTTAAAAAAATGTTACCCGCAAAATTTGAGATAATATTTACTAAAAATGTAAAATGATGTTGTTATAGGGCTCGTTTTGAGCCGATTTTTCAAAAAGGCTAACTCAGTATTTTAGTCAGAAAATAATTGCTGGAGCCCCGAGATTTTCTAATATATGTTCTAGACCTTTGCTCCTTCTATGAGCAAAATCTTCAGGGCTTTCGTAACATTTTTTCTGGATGAAATATTTGTTTTTATAAACACCCGCCAAATTTGAAATGATTTTTTCGGGAAATGTAAAATGAGTATAAATAACTAAATATATATAAATATATGTATATATAATGATATATATGCATATCGTAGGGGGGTTGAGTATTGTATTGTTCTAAGTCCATTTTTATTGAAATTGTTCGTATCGCATTTAAATTTTTTTTAAAATCAAAATGTGATGAACGCAAATGAAAGAATTATTTTCTAAAAATTATATTTTGACATTTTTATCGTGGGTATATAAAATATGGTAAGGTATAATTTGTGGGAGATAGAACATTATAATATTCAGCCGAGAAAAAACTTTTAAATCCTTGGATCTGACATACATGATTCCGTGTTTGATGGGACTAGATAAATCGGTTTCTATTACTTTTTTAAAAAAAAATTAAATAAATACAGGTTGCCAAACTAACAAAAGTAAAATGGAGTTAATCTTACCCCCCCCCCCCCTTTCAAAATTCCAAACAGCTGTTCTGAATGGTGATTTTTTTATTTCAAATAATAGGAATAAGCACGAAAAACACATCTTTAAAAAGTATTTTAAGATATCGTCACTAGTTCCTGTCGATTTGTAATTGACACATTTATATTATTTTTTTCTAGAAGAAAAAGGAATACTTTAAGGAAAATAAAAATAAATTTAAAATAAGTTAAATATTGATGATAAGAAATTTTGGGATGTTATAATAATCACCTTATGATTAAATTGTAAAAACTTTTTCTATAAAAAAAAAGTTAAATGGTGTCTGAGCTTCTTTCAGATTTGAGAATATAAAAAAGTAGGACCTCATTTCCGTTTTTTATTTAAAGAAAATTTCGCTAGAATTAATTTTCATAATTTATATATTTTTTTTTCCCTTTCTTTTCGTAACTTTAGTTCATTTATTCTATTTATATTTATTTCATTCTTTTAATCTATTTATTTTATTCATTCTAAAAAAAATCTAGAATATCCCGTCTTGTAAACTCATGTAATTAAGCTAATATTTAATTAAAGTCTAAATGTCTAATTTTTTGAAATTTTTTTTTAACAAATCTTGATATTTAAAAGAAAACCGCGAAAATGTTTCGTTCCATTTAAGTGGTTCAATTTATGATTATTTCTTTCAATAATTAATTGTTCTATTTGATTTATTAGTGGTTCAATTTATAATTATTTCTATCAATAATTAATTGTTCTATCTGATTTATTATATTTTTGGTGTAATAAAATGTTATGTTTTATTATTTTAGTAGTTAAAGATGAGAGATAAATTATCACAAAAATTATTTAGACAAAAAAAAAGAATTTGTAAACATATAAGGGGAATGTCACTACACCATATCAATGTCAAATATGATTATTCTTCGAAAAGAGAAATAATTTTTGAATGTCAAGAGGAATAATATTTCTATGAGTGTAATACTTTCGTCACGTGTCATAAATACGAATTTTTCTTCGCTAGAATTTTCGGGGAGTTTTCTGTGCTAAAAAATTTAAAAATATTACAAAAATAGAAATATGGCGCCAAAAACTATCACGTTATTAAAAAAAATTATCTACGTCACGCGATAGTTCAAAAAGAATAATAGAATAATCAAACTTTCAGGATAATCTTGCGTTTCAATTTTTCGGGAGATGGTAACATGTCGGGATCGTCTTCGTGATTGACGGGCGAGGTTAGTAACAAATCGCCGAATATTTCTTTGAACAGCGAGGCCAATATTTTCATTTGGTAAAGCGAGCAATGATCTTCGATGGATAGGATCAAGGGGTAGCTGTTTAAAAATCATATTATATATATAACGGGGAATGTGAATTCGAACCCGGGATCAGGAAATTTCGTAATTGTTTGGTTGGAACGGAGACCGATTTTAGGACAACTCATTATACCCGGGGTGAAATGGACCTGGGGTAGGTTCGGACCCCTCTTAGGAAGTTGGTTTTAATTAAGTTCCCGTTATCAAAGTTCGCATTTAAATGAAATTTAAAATTCTTGAAACCGGGTTCGGTTTCGCATCCCTGATATATATATATCGGACTTGCTGATGCAAATATTATACGACTTGGTCCAAATTTTAATGCTTTATTTCAAGCCAGGCTCTAACCCAAACCGGATTTTTATATTTGACCATTTTACGGTCCCGGATATTTAAAAATAATTTTGGATGTGTGTAAATTGTTTCGAGAGGTGGAATTGAGAATATGAGCAGTAAAATGTAACGTTAAGCGCTACATTATGCCATTCTTAATTTTGCAGCTGATTAATTTAAAAATTTATCTATTTTTAAGTCGGCCCGGCTGGGATTTTGTAAAATATTTTTAAAAATAAATCTGAATCTCACTAAGATAATTCTTAATATCACCCATCACAACTGCAAGATTCGGTAGACATGGTCTTTATTAGTCACTAATCCAATCAATTAAATATTTTATGATTGACATCTTATTATTAATTTTTGACATTTATGCGCCATTTACTGTAAAAAAATAACTCTATATTTAAACATTATTTGAATGACATTTGTAATAATATAAAAATCACACAACAATTTTTAAAGCCCGGTTCAGCTCAGGATTATTTTTAAAATAAAATTGTAATGGCGGTTTCGATAGTGCTATTAGTAATATACTGGTCACGTTTAATCGATCCGAAAGATGGTTCAAGTCCAGAGACATTTTGCTCAATCTATAGATAGATCAGTATATCTAGATACTCACTCAGTATCCATGAAGGCGCATGCCCTGAGGGCGATCAAAACTTCCCTGACACCTATTTTGGTGGTCAGGGTCATGCCGTGATAAACGAGGGGCAGGGGTTGCAATTGTGACGCGTGGTTAGCCTGCAACACGGTGCCGCTAAAACTGCAAGAGTTGCTGAGTAAAGAATTGGTGGAATTGTTGGAATATGAAGAAGCGGAAGGATAAAATCCGTCCCAGCAATCAATCTCCAAGCATCGGCCATGGTAAGGGTAGGTCAAAGCGGATATGTAGGCTTCCGGGCTGGATTCACTGGAGAGTTGGTCACCGGTAAGGTAACTGGGTATGGGAAATGGTGGATACACATTAGCCAAATAAAATAGTAAATCGAATTAAAGCGAAAGGATTCTATATGTTCCATATAATACAAATTATTGGTGGGAAATTTTGAACCAAACCGACCTCAGTTCAAAATATTGTTTTAGAAGAACTGAACCAAGGCCGAAAGTAAAATTAATAATATCTTTCCACTTTCTAAATATATAAAATAACGCGACAAAACGGCTAAAACAATTTTTCGTGATATTTTGAACCATTTTTTCTTGATAGTGCGTTAATAAGTTAGATTACGCACATAAATGCTTCAGTTTAGGGTTAAGTAAGTTATCGAGCTATCGAGAGACAGGATCCCTAGGAATTTCAGATAATTTTGCCGTGAACCTTCCGAAGTAAGTTAGTATAAAAGTTCCGATTTACGATTTTATTCAGAAATAAATATTATGTAAGCCTCAAGATTTTAAAGAGTTTCCAAAACTTTCTTCTAACTATAAGAAAAAATTTCGAATACATAATACTTATTTTGGCTTAAAATCTTAATTAGAGTCGTTTTTTTTAAATATCGACAAGAATCGGCCATTTTAACAACTGTAAATGTTGAAGTTTGTACTATTTTTATGAAAAAATAAAACAAATACGAGAATTCATGGCAAAATTATATCAATTCATAGAGTAAGACACTCAATGTACGCTCGAACATGATTCAGCCAAAGATTTAGATCTATCTTTTTCGCAAATAGGAATGAAAATATTTAAGTTATTGATAAAATCTAGGGTGAATAAAAGCGTAGCTTTTTAAAATTACTACTTAAACCCCATATGACGGAATATTAATAAGGAAGTTAATTAGCTGTTTGTTATATGGATATACGTGTTGTGAGACGAATTTATCCAGTAATGCGATAACGGCCTAGTCATATCCTGATTCACTTCCTTGCAAATAGGATCCAGGAGGTCATTCTTCGAATCGTACAAATAATCTATAAACTTATGAAATAATTAATATCTTCTTTTAAAAAAATATTTTTCGAGAAATTTTATATTTAAAAGGGTCTACTAATCCTAAATATCAATATAATTAATAATAATAATAAAAAGGTAGGAGAATAAGCTCATTTTTACATTTAAAAATTAAATCATTTTTTTTGAAGAATTTAAGAAAGTTTATTAATTTTTGAAAGTTCGAGAAATTATAGAAATTTACTAAAGTCGCGAAATTTTTAAGGGAAAAAAAACATGGTAAGCAAAAATTAATTTATATTATTTTTCAAAATTAAAATAAGAAGAGAGAAGAGAATTGGTAGGAAATTATAAATTCCTGAAATTTGAAAAAAAATTTAATGGAAGATTTTGGTCATCTTTTATGAGGAAGTTTCGAAATTTTGAGATTTTTAGAAAAATATATATTTAGGAAATAGTCCAAGGAAGGAATAAGCTAATTGCCTTGAAAAAAGTGATAAAATCTCAGGTTTTTCGATTTAGCAAAAAAAAACAAGGGTCACGTCACCTCTCAAGATCGCCCAATCAATCAATCAAAAACGAATCGAATAATAAATTATTCGTATTTGACTTTTATTTTAAACGACAAATAATTTGCTACAGTAGCAATTCCTATTCCTATTTGATTGGTATGATTACGAATATATTCGATCCGTTTAAAAAAAACCGAAGAACGAATAATTCATAATTCGATATTCGTGTTCGAATAGGCCTACTCCCAAGTGCGACCATGGAATAGTATTGCACCACCCCTTGAATCGTCACCGACACCTGCGAACCATTAATATAGGCCTTACTTTTTAAAGCCGTCGTCACATTGTGAGATATAATGGCATTTGCTTTCGCGCTTTCGGCTAACTCAGGAAACCTTGTCAAGGTTTTTGAAAGCGTAACTTTATAAAATACTAGGAAAAGGTGGGTAAATTTAAAAAAACCTTGAGGCCGCTGATAAAATTATTTGGAGGGGGGGGGGCAAAAAAAATCGGGGCTCATTTAGTACCTCTTTGCGCAAGAGATATATGTCGCTCATATCTTTGGTGAGATCTTCGATGTATTCGTCCATGACCTGTTTAATGTGATCGGGTTGTATGAATTGCTGATTTGTTTCCTTAAAGAGAATTTTTTTTTAAATAGGTTCTTCATATAAAACTTTTCTTTCTCTCTTTCTTTCTTTCTTTCCTTCCTTCCTTACTTTTTTTTTAAAATTTCTTTTCCACAAAATTAATCAACCAATCCCATAAATTTCAAGAATGTAAAAAAAAAAAAAATTATCTACTTTTTGCACTTGAACCAAAAACTTATTGAATTCGTCCAAGGTAACTGTCTTGCCGTCGAGAGAAAATTCGTTGAGATGCAGAGAGTATATCTGGAAATATCGATTGAAAGATTAAAACAATTGAATAAATAATTCTAAAAAAAGGATAACTCACCTGATTGCATTGCAACAGCTGATTATACACGAACCGGAAATCGTCGAAGGTCAGGTCCTTCCCTTCGTTATTTTCAAAGTCGAGCGAGACACACAGGTGTTTGACGAGGGAATTACCGCATTTGACACCAATCTTGTTGAGCAAAAATTTGACGTCCTGCCAAGCCAATTTCCTTTGGTGGGGTAAGATAATAAATAATGAATATAAGTCAGATTTCTATAGGATATTTTTTTGAATATTTAGCATTCTTAAATGACAATAATTTCTGAACTGCATTAGTGGTATAATTAGTTAAAGCAGCATATACATATTTTTTTTTAAGCATACGCTTGACTTTTTGCATATTATGTTTTATTGCAAATGTAGCATAATATGAAAATAAGAGGATACCTCCTACTATATAATATAGTAATATTTTTAATGACAGAAATAAGGATTATTCTAAGCTACCTACAGATAGGCATTTATCAACCTCAACATTAAAAAAACACATTCAATACATTAAATCGTAGTTTTCAGATTATTCAGAATATTATAATTATATCCAGTCCAGCTATTGTACCGCAACCATATTACAATATGGCAAGTCGTACAATTTCATCAGGCACAAAAGATACAGCAAGGGGACTGCTTAGCAAAAAGCAGTATTATAAAATACAAAAACTTATTGTAACCTTGACCTTGACCTTAACAAGGTGTTTGTGTATGATGCCCCGTAATACCACCATTTAAGAGAAATAAATAAAGACGTAGTCGCAGTGAGACCCCTGTGTGTGGGTTACCTCAATTAGGCACTGTCTAATGGCATTATATGCAAAACACAAAAATTAAACAGGAATTTTTCTTGTAAATTAAATTTAAACCAGAGTATATATGGTAATTTTAATAACTATAACTTTTTTGATTGTTATATAACATATAAAATATTATATTTTTTTTAAACAAAATTTATTATACAAGAATAACTATAAAAAAATATTGTTAAAGATATGAAAATTAAATTAAATTTTTTTTTGTATATATATAGAAAGAAAGAATGAAACAATTACATAATTGTCTAAGATTTTGCAATAAAAAAATATAGGAAAATTTATAACATCTTATCAAGTATGTCATTGAATCTTGGGGAAATTTTTTGAGTTTTTAATTTTAAGATTCCATGTTTTTTTGAAACAATTATAAATATAAATAAATTCAAAATATAATTTTAAAAGAAAAAGCTGAAAATTGTCATAAATATATTTTGAGGAAAAAACCAGATATTGTAAATTGATGTCATTAGAAAAATGTGATAACTAAATAAGTAGACACTAGATAAGAGTATTTTATTTGAATAGATATATAAATATTAAACAATTATAAGGAATAAATTAAAAATATAATTTAAGGTAAAAGTAAAAATTGTCATGACGTATGTCTCTTATATTTCTAAAACATATTCACAAAATAGTGTTTTTTCCTGTTAATGGAAGTTAGCCTTTAGATTCCTCCACAATATCTGCTCAATATGGTGTCCATGCAAGGATTGGTCATTTGGATTGATAAAATTTTGACTATGATTTATATTGTGTCTAAATAATAAAACCTAATAAGATAAAATTTTAAATTTTTTTTAATGCTTCTACAAGATTTTATAATCTAGTTGAAATTAAAATTTTAATTTTAAAAAATCAATTCTTTTTTTTATAAAATAAAATTTAAAAAACACAAAAAATTTCCATATGATATAATGACTTACCTAATATTTATGTTTTTTATAAATGGTAAACTTTAATTTAGAAAAATATAAGAGGTAGCAAATAAATTCTTGACTAAGAGTAGCAGAGACTAGTGACATAACTGTATATTATTATTACAACTTACCTTAAATTATAAAAAATGCAAAACCTATAATTCTAATTTAAATTTATTAATTATTTGAATTAAGAACCTTTCTGTTGTAATGTCATTATTCATCAGGCAATTGTATTCCTTCCTAAGTAATCTATTAAATATTATAGAAAATGTGTATATTTAAATTTTTAAAAAAAACCTTTCACACTGCAATTGATAATTGGCATTTTTAGTATCTCTAGTCAAATGTATAATACCTTGATAGAAAATTTTGAATATTTCTTTATCTGGAGCTTGGTTTACAAGGAAGGTTTAATGATATATTTTAAAATTGGAAATAGAAATAAACTAACCTATAAGAGATAAGGTTTTAAATCTAAACTCTGTGCCATAATAAAGGGTTAAACAAAGACTTGCTAAACATGTCTTTGTTTCTTCAAAACATTTTTCAAAATCAATTGAGTCTTTCCCTACTTTGATGTTATGTAATTCTTTGTAATCAACTATTTATTAATAAATTTAGATAAGTAAATAATACATAAATTAACTTATTCCCTCAATTTCATTATGTTTGGTCCATATTAACTGTCGGGTTTCCATTTTAATAAAGAATACTCTTTGATCAATTTTCTTTTTAGACGGAATGGCCTTGTGTAACATGATCCCACATTGCAACTTTTTAAGCATTTGATGCAATTCACTATTAAGTTTATGAGACAATTCATTTCCTTTAATTTTCGAGTTGAGATTCAGCATATTTAAGGAAGTATATAGGTACTATTTAAAAATTTAAATAACACATTAATTTTAATTTTGGATAAGTGATATATGCACATATGACTAATTTTTAGGTGTTTTTTATTATACAATACAATATATATTTACAAATAAAAATTAAATAAAATTATCTAAAAAATATTACAAAAATAAGTAAAAGAAAAGCATTCCTTAAAATATGGTTTCAATGGAATATATATATTTATGAAATGATATATATAAATTAAATGATAACAAAAGACCCATATCCTGAAACAAAATTTTTTATTGATCCTATTTGTCAATATTTATTGTCTATATTTGTATATAATAAAAAATCTACCAGTGTAATTTAGAGACTAATTAAAATAATTGATTTAAGATAAGGGTAATTTATAGTATACCCATTCATAAAGTTTATATATTAATTGATAAGGTGTAAACATTCCTTTACTTTAAAAGAAAACTAATCATAATATTCAAAAAGTGCTTACCAGGGAATTTCTAATATCAGATTTTTAAAATTTACAAATTATAATTATCAAATATTTAAAATCGATTATATATTTTTTATCTGTATACCTTGTATTAAGGTATAATTTTCAAATTCTTAATAAATTTTACCGAAGGCAATTATTATTTAAGTGAATTTTTATATATTTTAAAACATTTGTTTTGATAAATTTACAACTTGAAAACGAGTAACGTATTTTATTCAATATTTATTTTATTACATAATATTACAACTAACTCAATCATTAACAAAAAACACGACTATATATATCTATAAAAACAAATTAAACTTTAACAACCTAAAGTCATAATCACAATATACTTTAAAGTTAATGTTCAAATTTTATAACCTTTTATCTTTAATATCCCACAGTGATAATTTATACAATTTTAAAAGTTACAATTTCAAAGTTAATTTAAATTTAGATAATTTTCCTAATACAACAATTCTATAGACATATTATACCAAACATAAGTAAAGGGAGTAGCGAGGGGCATATATTGTAAAGTGAAAAAAAATTATCTACTATTTTAACATAAATAAACACATTTTAACACCTATTTTATAAAATAATTTAGCTACGTCCTTACGTAAGTAAGATTTAATTTTATATAATGAGAAATGCTATATGTTTTAGACTTCAATAACATCATTCAGTAAAATCTAAAAAGGATATTTCTTTAGTTTCTTTAGGTACAGGTAGCTTATAATACATTTATTGAACTATATATCTCAGGTTTAATACCTCATTTGGGCTAAAGTTAGAATAATCAATTAAAATATTTTCAATGGCCCATTTGTAAAAAATATTTTGAATTATTTATCTGGCTCAGCTTGAAAATCCTTTTGGGAATCGGGATAGGGCCGGATTTTGCATTCCTCTAGTGTATATCAAAAAAAACATTTTTTAAAAGTATTGTTATTATGAATTTCTATAATAATTCACATCATCTATTTTTCACTTTAAAACAAATAAATTAAAGTTAAATCAAATTTATTTTTGATATATGAGATATAAACTAATTTACTAGAGGAATGATAAGTGCTCAAATTTAAATGCACATCTGACGATAAAAAAAATAGCTAATTTTATCATGACGCAAAACAATGTATATCTAGAAGGACCATTAAGCAAATGGACTAATTTAGTTAATGGGTGGCAATATAGATGGTTTGTATTAAATTATCAATCAGGAATGTTGACCTATTATACAGTATAGTATACTAATATACCTTATATTTACCCTTTTTTATGTGATTTTTATCTAAGCTACCCTTGGCCTTTCCATCTAATTGAGTTAATAAATTGGGGGTAATAAGACAGAAACTCATCCACTTTTTTTAAGGACTGTACTTATCTTCGCACAAAGGGTGCCTGCGTGACAATAGGAAAGTATAAACAAATCTTTAACCAATTAAGTAAAGTTTTTATTTATAGAGGGAGTAATAACTATTTGATTTTATGTTAAATTGATAATGTGATATAATAATATTTTAAAACTTAGAGGGAATATAAAATATTTTTATAATATAGTGTTATTTAAATGATAAATAATTTAATAAGTTGTTTGATTTGAAAAGAAATGTAAATAAAGTCATGATTAATTAAAAATATATTAAATAAATATATCTCTAAACATGCAAATATTTTTCTTTTATTTGATGAATAGTTATAATTATTACTACACTAGCCATTTTTATTGTATTATAATTTAGATTTGCATATTAAATGATTAAAAAAAGGAATACAAAATTCCAATTATATTTTATTGTATAATCAAATTGATGATTTTGTATATGGCATTCAAAATCTTTTAATAAGTTTCTTGTGACAAAAAAAAATGAGTAGTACCTAATGTAACTAGAGATCTACAATGCTTAGCAGGTTACCAATCAATCTATTTTTTTATTTGGGCCAAACTAGGCAAGAAAATTCATGGACTGGGCTTGCAAAATGTAGAGTTGCCCAACATGCTTAATAGAGAATTAGTATAGAAAAAATATTATTCTAAAGTTTAATTTTGATTAAAGGACTTGCTACTATGATCATTCATTCATAAATACAATTTCCGTTTCCCACTTCCTATTATAAGAAATTCATGAACTCAAATTCTTATCATTAATAGTTATTTTTCCATATAATACATTTCTGTATTTTAAGGCCTAACCAGGCATGGCACCTTAGTAAAAATTGGAGCATGCCAGGTGAAAAATGGGCCAAGATTTGGCTTGAAACTTTTTGTCATTTGCAAGACCTCGACAGTTAAATGGGGTACTTTGGGTACAATTGCAATTGCATCTTGGAATTTCAAGATCAATATTACAATTGTTGTGAAAAGAGGAATTAATTATTTTCCCATTTTCATATTCACAATCATGATTTAATTATATATCAATTATACTAGGGGCTGCTCAGATGTCACAATTTCATACCAAATTCACGTTTTTTTTTAATCAAAATAATCTCACCTTTTCTCACGAATTTTTTTATAAAAAAAAACAAAGTTTGTTAAAAGTCCAACCCCAACCAATTTAGGCATTGCCCTTAACATAAGCACTTTATTAAATAACATAAATTTACAACTACTATCTAAATATGCCTTATCTATATATATATATTCTCTTCTCTTGTATATATATATATATATGTTAGCTTCAATGCGCTTTCGGTATGTGTTATATTTACAACTGTAAATTACATTTAAATTTGCATTTGTCCCCAGTTATATATATATATATAACTGTTTTTTTTTAAATTTTAATCGATTCATATGAATTTTTTTCCCCCTTAATAATATAATTATTGACCAATTCTAAATCTGATCTGCGGATCTCTGGGAGAGAAAATAAAATTAACTTTATTTATGGAAAAATATCGATTAATAAGCGATTTAAAATGTTTTATATGTCATGTTAAAAAAAATTATAAATAATAATTAACAATTCTTATTCACGACTATTGATTTTTTTTTATTAGCTAATTTTCTTCCGCTAAAAAACAACGGTCATTTCCCACCCACCCCACTCCCCTTCCTTAGCTCTCTGATATAGTTAACTTTCAAGCATGCCGTTCAAAAATGATACTCTTTATTACCATTTCTCTTATTTTTTTATTAGGCTCAAATTCCTTAATTTCTAAGAGAATTCTGGTTAATCCTTGCTCAGAAATTATCTTGGAATCAACCAAATTTTTTTGATAATGAGTATCCCCAGTGAAATATTCAACCCTAAGTGGGAAGAATATAGTTACGAAATTTCCCCATTCCTATCCGTTTTAACCCATCTTTGCCGCGTTTTTAATTTAAGTCGAAAACTAACTATCAGCTTAGCCTCGAATATTTCTTCGAATAAAATGGTTAAAAGTCGCACTCACACCCCATTGTTTTACCGAATTATTCGTTGATATAAATTTTATGGCATAACGTGTAAGGCTTAATAATATCGAGGTTAATTACGATCGCAGATTGTCGGGCATTGGTAATCGATTAAAATTTAATAAGTATCCGCTATTGTATGGAATAAAAGTATCTGCCGATACTTTATACTAAGCGATAACCACGAGTTATGAGCACAACTCCGCCCATTTTTAACTATCGTGTAAGTAAAAAGCAGATACAAGATACATATATATGGCAGTTCCGAATAAAAATTATTTGTTCCACTAGGATGGTCGCATTTTAATGTAAATATGTTAGCCTCGATGTGTTTATTTTTTCAACTTTAAAATCATTTTTTTTTGCGCGCGTTTTTTTATTTTTAAATTTTTAAAAAAATATCGGATTTTACCGGAAATATACCGATCTTATGAATTTTAGGAAAATTTTTGTCGTTAACCTTTGAGTCATATAATAATTTATATTTTTTTAAATAAAATCTAATGAAAAAAAAAACTAATATATTATTATTATTATATTTAGTTAAAAAGTTCTTAGAAAAATTGTCCGAAACTTGTAGGATAGGTTTTCCAAACATGATAGAAAACATTTCCGGTTAGAATCAAAAAATTTAAATTTAAAAAAAAAACGCGCTAAAAAATTAAATAACGCATTGTCAAAATAAATATTGGCGCCACATTTCTTCGCGAGAATTTTAAAATGTGACAATTTTTTTGCAAATTTGAATGGTATCATATTTAAAAATTTAAGCCCGACCCGGCCCGGCCGGAACCGAATTTGTTTTTAAAAAAATATATTACGGCCCCTAACCGAAATTAATTTTTTAGAAAAAAATGGACCCCGATTTACACGACTCTTAGTATATTATCGAAAACGCGAAATTTTTCGTAAAAAAATGTCGATTTTCGAAAAATTAAACCGCTTATAATTTCGTAATAATAGCACTCCTAGAGGATAGATAACGACAAATGTATTAATCCGCCTTAATTTTTTTTTAATTAAATCAAATAAATAAATTAAAAAAGAATAGCGGTCATCTTTGAACGGAGCCGGAAATTCGCCAAAAAAAAACCCTCACACAAAAAAAATAATAATGTTGACGAATTGGGCAACTGTCTAATTTGGGCAGAAATGAGTGTACCTTAATTATTTATATAAAAAAACCGGTCAGTATCCGGTTATTTTTAAAACTCGGTAACGATTCCGGATTTTAGATTTGATAACATATCTAATAATTTTATTTATTTTAAGTCAAGGGATAAAATGAAGAAAGGCTCAAGACGGGGATGCGTGTACCTACAAGTTTACAAAAATATGATATATAGTTAATGTTATTTACTGTTTTTTTTTAAAAAACAATAAAATGCATACATTCATTAAGTCAGCTGTTGTAGACCTGTTAGGGGTGTTGGCAGCCCAAAGCCAGGTATACCCAAAGCCAGAATATTTTTTTTATTGGATTGGAAAATATGGATTTTTTTTTTCGAATAAAAAGGGGAGGGGGGGGAGTTGTTTGGATACAGAATAATAGTTCTTAATAAAATTAAATGGAAATGATGTATTATATTCTAACTCCAGTTTTAAAAGAGTATAAACAAAACGAAATTTTAATATCATGGTATTTTATTTAAATTAAGTACTGAAAAACGGTTAAATATATATAATATCCAGAGTTGTTAAAGGATCTAGATCCTGTATCTAGATATAAAAATGTGGTATCTGTATCCAGATAGATTTTTGATTAAATAATCTGTATCTAGATATTATTTTAGACGTTGTATCTGTATCTTGATCCATTTAAAAGTATCTTTTAATAACTCTGATAATATCCTTGAATTTAAAAATAAATTAAGAAAGCACTTCCCACATTCAATACAGATTTTATAGTGAATTTATCAGGGACCCGGAGTGAACCGTTAAACCATTATAAACCGTTATAAATATCCGTAACCGAACCGATATAATTATCTTTTGAAGGAGTAGTTGTAAAAAACGGTTAAACCGGTTCGAAGCGGTTCGGTTTTTATATTTTGGGAATGGAAATAATTCGAATATCCAAAATTATATAAACTTGCTCTTATAGTACTGGCGGTTCCCGCAACACGAGTTTCTGTAGAAAGGGCTTTTTCGGGGCTAAAATTTGTGTCATCGTCACAACGAACAAAAAGGAATTTATATATATTAGAAAATATATTAACTTATACGTTCAAATGATATATTTAAAAATGAGTTATCGTGAATCTTATATATTTTTTTTATATATATAATTCATAGATGCTTACAATAAAAATAAATTAGACGATGGTGTTGCTTCAATGAAAACGAAATTTCTAACAGTAATGAACCTTTACAATTAGCTGAACCGAACTAAAATATTTCTCAACTTCAAATTTATATTTCTTCTTTATTTAATAATTTTATCATTCAATTCATAATTTTTTCATTAAATATCAATTAAAATAATGAATCCAATAAATTTTCTTTCTTTTCACAATAATTAAAATTAATCCCTCAATTTTCACAATAATTTTTTCTAATGGCGAAATCAATTTTTTCTTACTTTTAAAAATATATCCCTCCGCGATAAATACAATAAAATAATATAAAATATATCAATATTTTTAATCAATAATATTATTGATTGACAGTAGGTATAATTTTAAACATGATAACTATATATTGTAATTACTAAATACAACATGTCTGCCCCTAAAAAGGCCAAAGACATGTAATAATACAAAAAATATATATATTAATTTACGTAAATTTATCATCATCTTTCAACATAATATTTTCTTCTAACTCCATATCTTTTACTCCTTTGGTAATCTGCATACCATTATTCATTTCTATCTTTTCATTAAATTTCGTAGTCTTGACCACTTGCGATTTCACCCTCATAGCTTTAGAGTTGTAAGCTTGTAGTCCTCCAGAATACGAATATTTTACACTATTCAATGCGTTAGGATTTAATTTTGTCAACGGTTTTAGTTTAGCTTGTACTGCACTTGTATAATGTACGGGCGGCCAAACTCTTTGATTATGGAACTTCTCTCTAGATTCCATCTCATTTATTTTGTTATAGTTTCGGTACGTAACCTCCGACGGTACCTTATTATTTTTTTCACAAAAATAGCTTGAGGTTGGAACTTCCTCTGTATCACTTGGATAATCTTTGCATTCTTGATTCATCAACACATGAGTCGGAATTTGACAATCCTTGATCTGATGTCCAAAACTCTGACATCTGAAACAGCGTTTGAAGATATCGGATTTAGGTCTTTTTATTCCTAATTTTTTTTTATTATTATTTTCACATAAATGATCTGTTCTGGTGTGTCTATTTTATAATTCATCACGATATATATATTTCTATATATTTTTTTTTTACTTTTAAATAAATACTCTAATTTATTTTATTATTTTTTAAAAAATTTTAATTTTGAAATTATCAAAAATAATTTATGAATTTTCTCTTTTAGAATAAAATTACTACTTATTAAGACACAAGTGATAAATATCAAAAGTTATTTAAAATCATTGGATCATGATAAAGAGAAGATTATCACTTATTCGTTTAAAAGAAAAGAGGATAAAATTAAATAACATGTTTGATTTTTTTTTCTTTTAGGGAAAGAAAAGTGAAGAGTAATATTTTTTTTGTAAAAGAAAATAACATGAGTGTTGTTTTTAGTGAAAATTGTTTTTATTTTAATTTGAATTACATAGGGGTAATTTGCAAATTATTATATATTTAAAAAGAGAAAAATTATTAAAAAAATAATTAATAAGTAGTAATTTTATTCTAAAGGAGAAATTTCATAAATTATTTTTGATAATTTCAAAGTTAAAATTTTTTTAAAAAATAAAATAAATTAGAGTATTTATTTAAAAAAAAAAAATATATAGAAATATATATATCGTGATGAATTATAAAATAGACACACCAGAACAGATCATTTATGTGAAAATAATAATAAAAAAAAATTAGGAATAAAAAGACCTAAATCCGATATCTTCAAACGCTGTTTCAGATGTCAGAGTTTTGGACATCAGATCAAGGATTGTCAAATTCCGACTCATGTGTTGATGAATCAAGAATGCAAAGATTATCCAAGTGATACAGAGGAAGTTCCAACCTCAAGCTATTTTTGTGAAAAAAATAATAAGGTACCGTCGGAGGTTACGTACCGAAACTATAACAAAATAAATGAGATGGAATCTAGAGAGAAGTTCCATAATCAAAGAGTTTGGCCGCCCGTACATTATACAAGTGCAGTACAAGCTAAACTAAAACCGTTGACAAAATTAAATCCTAACGCATTGAATAGTGTAAAATATTCGTATTCTGGAGGACTACAAGCTTACAACTCTAAAGCTATGAAGGTGAAATCGCAAGTGGTCAAGACTACGAAATTAATGAAAAGATAGAAATGAATCCAAATTCGAATCATCATATCATATCTATTCGTGCATAAAGAGTATCATATGATATGAATCCTTCATAATATTTCAACATTGAGCGCAACCAGCACATATATTTTTTTTAAAAGTGGTCATTCGTTATTCAACCATTCTCCCGGTTACTCTATTTAGCGGAAATTTTGATAACAAAAAAACTTAATCGAAAACCGATTTTTCTAAAAGAGGTCCGAACCCGCCCCGAGTCCATATTACCCCGGGTTTGATGGGCCGTCCATAAATCGTTATCTGTTCGGTCCGTGGTCCCAAACTGCCCCACCAAACAATTTTAATATTTTTGAACCCCTGGTTCGGGTTCACGACCCTGATTGCGATACACTTTTTTATTTTACGAAATATATCGAAATTTACCATCAAAATAAATAATCGCTGTCAGAAGGCTATGATAGGCATCGACGACGAAGACGATAGCGGTTTCAGCATTACGAGCGATTCAAAGCAATTCCATTTCCAAGGTTTTAACCATAATTCTTACCTCATCTTTTTGAATATGTCATCAGGAATTTTACATTTTTATCCCCACTGTATAAAATAATGGCTCATTCCAATGACCGCAGTGTCAAGGCTAGATGGACGATTCATCCATTTAAATGTGTATTAATGTAAATTAGCAAGTGGTAGGCCATTTTGGTTCAAGGCAAATAACCTATTATGCATAATAAAAAAAAATAGCTTCTATTCAACGACGTTCCAATGTGCGTTTTAATGAATGCATCATCATTTTTTAGTAACCGCTATGTTAATTACTTACTTTGAAGTCATTCAAATTTACCCCTGATCCCGATGAAAGAATTTTAAAGATGATCACGTGTCAGTCATAGTTTTTTTCAACCCATATTACATTCAAAGATTTTACCGATATATAACTCTTTAGCCAAAACCGATATCCGAACCGAACACCAAATACCACACGGTTCGGTCGAATACCGATTTAAAAATAATAAAATTTTACCAAAATTGTTATTTTTTTAATTAAAGTTATCCGGTCTCACGGATTTCGCGAACGGTTGAGTATGGGAGGGATCAACTACGGTCGATGTTTCGGGCATTTGGGGTCGGGGGCAAGGGGGCCCAGTCTCGGCTTGGCCTCGATCATAATTTCTAATTATACGGTCGATGTTTTCGGGCGTTTAATCGACAAAGGAGACACAGTTTCAGCCTGGCATCGGTCACGAGGACTGGGTTGAATTTATACTCTAAAAAACGCTCGAAAACGGAATGAGGTATTTAGTATTCACGATGAAAAGTTTTAATTGCAATCACTTACGCGATTAGCCTTTAGTTCTTGCTTTTCTAATTTATTTATCCTGATATGAAGATGAACTATTTGTCATATACATATATATATATATATACGATTGTAGACTAAAATTGGCCATTGCGGGTTTGGGCTTATCTATAGGTCACCTAATTAAACGGTCCACAGAAATAGATTCCTTACAGTTTGCGCGACTTTTGAAGGAAGGTCATTCCGAGATATATCAACACGGTACCTTTTGTGTTTGTTAAGATTTTAGTAGATTCTTTGCTTATGACTAAGTCCATGCCGATCGGACTCCCCTTTGCCTCCGAGCATCGACCCTTATTCCAAAACCTCTCACGCCCAATAGTTCGCGGAGTCCCATTCCCCTGGCACAAACATATACAAAGATGCATTGTCACTCTCAAAGTATCTGTTTACATTGAAAGTATCGGCCGATACTTTCATGATGACCTCTTTATTATTCCTATAATATTGATATGTTAAATATATTTTAGCACGGGATTCTCAAGATCGGGAGAAATGGGTCAGGGCGCTCGAATACGCCATATTTAATCAGAGAAATAAAGCGATGGCTTCCAGCGCCAATCTGCCCGCTACGACCGCGGAACGTATGGATTATGTATCAAATAGAAAATTTTTAAAGAAAATATATTTTCTTTTCCCTAATTTTTTTTTTCCACGATGAGTTTTTTTTTAAAATCTATTCCAACCATGTGTTAAGGTAGAGTGGGAGAAGCAATGACATATAATAATTCCCAGACTGACGCCGCATTCGTAATAGTGCATTTTTAAGCGTCGTTGAGTGCAAATCAGCTGGACGACACGCCATTTTGTTTACCAATATAGTGGTTATAACTACTATTAAAATTGGTAATTTGCTTCTCCTTGTTAATCTCGATGATCTGGCAATTATTTTATTAAAAATTTTGCGTACGGACACAGGAAATAAATTGGTCTCTCGTTTTTAAATTTTTATTAATTATAAGGGTAACCAAAATGGCGTCCCCAGCTGTTTTCATTAATCTACACTTTTTCATGAATGCATCGTCAGTCTTGGTATTATCACATGTCATTGGGGAGTAGGGCAGGGGTAGCTCATTAAACCGAACCCTTAAAATGTTAGATAGAAGCATTTAGTTATTTACTAAATAGTTACTTTTAACCACCCCCTGTGGAATTAAAATTGATATCCTTTTTTACACGTGGAAACTTTTTGTCCTCCATTTTATTATCATCGCTCTTTCAATATTTGTTATGTTTTTTTCCGGTTTAACAGCTGAGCATCATTCGGCTCCCGTTTCCCCTCGATTCTATAACTCGCCTATGATGACCAATATTTCGCCGAAATTATCGATGGACCAATTGATTAACGATAAAAATGTAAGCGTCTTGTTCCTTTTATTGGCGGTTTTTTCGGGTTTTATCCGAGTGAGCCAGTTTCCCCCCTCTGATTCCCCCCCCCCTCATTTTTATAACGGTCCTGGGCACCCTAAGCAATATTTATAACCACTATTAATCTTTCCAGTAATATGTTCCACCCCATATTTTGTTTTCAAAATTACCATAAAAAAAGAGTAATTTATGAGATTCTCACAATTTTGGGAGGAGGGGGGGCTTATCATCATTGACGCATTGGCTCACTCTAGCTAAGCGAAATCAGTTCCGTAGCAAAAAAAACAGAATTCCCCCGCCAAAAAAACTCATGAATCTATACCGACGACTAATACTTTTATGTTTTCCTTTTTACCATTTTTATTTTTTTTTTATTTCATTTTTTAGAGTTTTTTATTTACTTTTATATTTCCTTTTTTCTTTTTTTTTTGTTAAAACACAAAAAAAAGTGTTCTTACAAAAATGTCCCCTTCGATAGCTGCTTGAATCAAACGTTCGATTTCGATAGCAAGATAGCCGAGGCCGATGCTTACCTACAAATTCTTATCAATCAGATGAAAGTACGCACTAATAGGGTTTCATCGTAATTATTAAAGGACCACTCTTCCCCTGTTTATTTTCTCACGCCAATCAATTCGGAAATTTATCCCATAATCGTATACACAAAATTAATCTTGATAGCGGGATTGGCTCGGGGAGTTATATGGCCCCTATGGTGGCAAGACCAGACGGGCTCGGCAAGCGCCATTTTCTTCCGGCTCTAATTTTTTTTAATGGCCCACCTTCACCCCTCCAAATCAGGGCTAGGTTTAGTGATAATATGTTTTTAAATAAACGAAGATTGATGTTCGAATCCGCTGGCTTTATTTATTTTTCTTTTTACCGCGATCACATGTTATCGGCGGTCCGGTCAAGACTGTACCATGCTACCCATTTAGGTGGGGTATGAAGGTCGACGATAACACGATTTTATTATTTTATTTTCGTTATAAACTATAAGATAAAGTTATTTGGTACTGGTGTTGGTATAGACATATCAGGGTTTCCCATTTGACCAATCAAATTTATTCATATATAACTCCTATTCTGGGCGGCCGACCGCCAAACTAAATTTAAAATTAAAAATGAGATAAATGGCACCTGCCATGTCGACAAAAATGACTCGAAAATCAACCATATTGGATTTTTTCAAAAATTGAAATTTATATATTTTTTGTAACACCATCCCCGTCCCATTTATGAAGGCTCTAGAAAGCAAATCCAACCTCATGAACGAGGAAGATGAGATGCGAAAAAAGTACCTGGAGATCAAGATTTCTACCAACGTAATTTCCGGTTCCGTCTAAATTTTTTTTTATCGCGAATGAATTTTAGAGCGGAGATTTATATCGCGCGAATCAAATTTAGCGAATTTTTTATAGCGATCCTTAGGGTATACGCATAATAGCGAAAACATTTGATACCGTAGTCATTATTTCTTAACCAAAAAAGGCTAAGACAATATAGCGAAAACTATTTCCCGCGACATATACCCCGAAAATATTATCGCGAGTTGAATAGAGCGAAGGTACCACCCTGTCTTCGCCGTAAAAAGATTTGCACAGAATTTTGTCTATTATCTTAGCCCTAAAATTCATTAGCGACAAACGACATTTGAGGTTTTAAAATTTTTTAGGGAGTGTTTTGCAATAAAATCTTAGCTGGATCGACCTGATAGGGCACAAAATATCCCCCTAACATGTAATATTTGCGTGTTTTATTTTTGGTTAGATGTCAACTAATTTTTCAAGCCCGGCCCCGGACCTTCTTGCCCCGAATAACCCGACCCGAAATGAAAATAAAGTCCAACTTAAACGTGTACATTAACTATTGCGTTACTAATTTATTTCCATGAAAATGTAACGCGATATTTTGTCGTAAGTTTAACGGGATATTTAATGATTAACAAATTAATTATATATATATATTTTTTTTTTTGAAAGCTGATATATGAAATTTATTCAACAAATATTATCTACATTATTAAAGGCATTGATAGATTCGGTCAAGCATTCTATAGTCATCTTACAAATAACGCGGGTAATCATTTTTTAAAAAAAAAATTAACAAACATAAGAAAGAAAGATAGAAAGAAAGAAAGAATAAAGTAGAAAATGGAAGTAACAAAAGAAATGAATAAGTGTTTTCTTCTTTTTTTATATAGAACGCCGTATTTCCCTCTAGCGGTATTTATCAATCCACGCTGCCCCCGTTAATAGTGGCTTCAACCTCCAACATCACATGGGGCACCTTGCCGATCGACGGAAGTTAGTATTTTCCCATTTATTTTGATTGACATCTGAAAATCGTATCACATAGTACACCATCCATTGACCGAAATTTAATTATGTATATATATATATATTATATAAATCTATATAAAAATCGAAATTTAAATGTAAATGGGAGGCAATAACATTATTAATAATACCTAGGATGGCATTCACTCATTTAAATGTGCATCAATGCTAATTCAGCCGGTGATGCCATTTTTGGTTTCTTGTATCGAAATTATTAAATATTGAAAATGGCGATCCTTTTCCTTTAAAAAAAGTAACGACTTTACTTTCGTCTACGTTACCTCTTTACTTGTTATGCTAATATGAATATCATAAAAAAAATATGTGCAATAATAACTTACAACACCCCTTCCCTTAGAAATGTCTATTCATTCTGTGCTGCATTTTATTCTAGGCTTGATGATTGTTACACGGCCAGTAAAGAGTAAATACTAATCTTCAAAGCTGACTCTGTACAATATCGCATGAGATGACTAACCCCACAGATTTAACAGCTAATCGTCGTCGGTCTTTTATCTGATCCCAGGCGTCTCTTTCTTCTCTCACATATTCGTTACTGTTGACCAGAGTATCATTGATCATCTCCCCCTTACCTTCGTAAATCTTTTTTTTTCCCTGTTGGCATTTACCCAATTTCTAAATTCGACTTAAGCCGTCTATCTCTCAAATTCTCATTTAGGCATTTTTCTTTTCAATCACAAATTCTCTCGCGTTATTATTTTCTACTTGATTATCAATCCTAACAATTATGTAACGACTCATTGCTCGTTGTACAAAACGCAGATTCATATCCAGGTAACAATCAATCACAAAAACGCAACGCCAACATGAATAGACATTCTGAGGCGAAGGGGGGTTGTTACGAGTTGCGGATTTTTATATTATTTTATTGATAATTATATCAGCATAACTATGAGTTGGTGTTGTTAAACCGCTCGGCTAACAGCTGACTCGATATTTTATCTAGATAAATATTGGCCTTAAGCCCCGAGATCTCTCGTTAATACATGTCTAGAGATCTTCAGGCTTGCCTGGTATTTTTCTGGATTAAATATTGAGTCAGCTGTTTCAAAAAAATTGGCTCAAAATTAGGTGGTATACGAGCGGTAAGACCAGCTATTAGATTTCTTTTTTTTTACTAAGTTTAACAACACTACTGTAAGTATATATAAAGGTTTGATTTTGACGAAACTTATTTTTTTGTGTTGTTGTATTATAAAATTTGAGGTTCTCACTATTCCATTATTCATATTTTTTTTGTTTTTTAATTACTTTCTTTCTTGTTTCCTTTTTTCTCTTCTTTCTTTCTTTTTCTTTCTTTCTTTCTAGGTTCTAATGAATTCTAGCAATGCCTATTATAATTTTTTTTTAAAATTTATATTTATATATACGTTTTTTAAAAAATCCGCATTTTTCTGCCAGACGCACCTTCGTCTCCGTCTATCCCCTTCCGCGATAAATCTAATTCCCCGGACATTCAATCCATAATACCAATCCAGAGACCGGCCTCTGTCCAACACTTGCCACGCGTTCAGGACACCGTATCATCCTTCTCCACCAGCGAAGACGACGACAACACTCAAGACGAGGAGCATCTATATTTCGACGCGGAAGAAGATACGCATATCGCTGAAAACAGCGACCTACGAAAGGATGTGGTCGCGAAAGCTGTAATCTTGACCACTGACTCCATTTCACCACAGGCCCTCGCTGACCAAGCAAGAAAAGGGAGAAGGTTCGTTTTTAAATGGATTGATTGATATTTTTACGAAGCGTACACGCAAAAACCAAGAATGCGCTCCGTAATTAGGGAAAACGATGGAGTCCGACGAAAGATCGAATTAAATTGAGATAAATAACTTGATTATAAATGGGGTTTCCCGCAAATATTTTCCATTTATTTATCTTTTTTTCTGAAAAAGATAAATCACGTGATTATAAAGGATTTTCCCTCAAATTTCCAATTTTATTGGTTTAAATGATTGTGAATTCATTTAAAAAAATATATATAATAACGGTCCGCTAATATTTTTAGCCCGCCAGCCCATAAATCATAACGTAACTTCCCCTTATAATTTTTTTTTTGCTAAGAAACAAAAAATTATAAATAATAAATTTCTTATCCATCAAAATATTTTCTCGAAATTGCCCGGCTGCGCCGAACCGAGATCTCCATCTTGTAATATAGTTATAAAACGGAAAATTATTGTGAACCCTATAATTTAGGCCTTCGACAGAAAATTCTACGATAATGACGCCTGTCAATCAAGTTCCCCCGCCCACTCCAAATTACTCCCCCAATCCAGGTCGCCGCCCCATACCAGCCAAACATTTAAAAGGTACCTTCAAATTATTTCGCAAAAATGTATATTAAATAATTTTTCGTAATGTCTCAAATGTGGTTATGATGATTAACTTTTCATAACATAATTTTTGGGTTATTATCATCATTCAGAAAATCAATTTTAAAAATCGGAATAATGATATAGGAGGACAAGACAGGCCTTCCATATTGGCATGCTCTCATTTTGGGCAGGTCTGTGCTGATCCAACTATGCTAAATAAATTTTTTAAGGTTTGATCCACCGATCCTGTTTGAGCATTCAAATATTTTTTTTAGAAATTTTAACCTTGGGAACCTATTTTTGGCTAGAATCATAATCGGCCCGTTTTTTATAAATCGACCCCTCAATTCGAGTTTTTTGTGCGCACTATCATAGTGGTAGCTATAAAAATGTGACCAATAGGAGACTTTAATTTGTAATTCTAAACACATAAACAACCATCAAAACAAATATGGTTTTTTTTTTGTTAAAATATATAATACGATTGATATCAAATGTAAAATCTACGTTTACAAATTCATTTTTATCAAAAGTTTATGCACATTACCCGTGCGAAATTTATACCATCGGCGCGACTAGTGTCGTTAAACGGCACGATTTGAGCCCATTTTATAAAAACTGCCCACTCTATATTATAGCCAGAGCAATGTTTTCTAAGCTTCTATACGCAAGCCCGAAGATTTTGCTCATAGAAGGAAGCAAAGGTCGTCTAGACATATATTTTATCGAAAGCTCTAGGCTTGGGCAATATTTTTTTGGTTAAAATTTTGAGTTTAGCCCTTTAACAACACTAGGTAAATTCGTTTTGCATTATTTAAGTGCCAACAAAAATTATGGCATAAATCGTGTAAAAAATGTAAATACATCTTTAATAATACATCAAAATCAAACAAGGTATAAGTTAATGAATATAATTTTTCATATCAAATTTATAAAAACTTTATATTATAAAATCAAAATATTTATTCGCTTATTTTTCGTGATTAGATAATCTTAATGATATTATTATTTATATTATCGGACCCGGGCAGGGTTTCGAATAATTGATTTATCGGACCCGGGTAGTGTTTCGAATAATTGATTTTGTAACCCGGTTTTATGAGTGTCCTCCTATGATTATTCTTTATAATTATTTATTTTTAGATCACGCGGTCGACGAAATCAAAGATCGCGATACCTTGTTTCAGGATTCGTCGGAAGAAGAGCGTAAAATTAATTATTTATACGGGACACGAGATAAATAACCCTAAAAAGTGGATGGAAATGTGTTAAGAAATGTCATTAGATAGGTAATGTTACCATACGGCCCCGGCCCAAAGGACAAAACCTGGACCGGACTTGACGGTTTAAAAAGGGGTGATTTTAAAGGATCGATGTGCGCGGATTGCCGCATTGTTAGCCGATACCAATATACTAACACGGATTGGCGGTTATCGAATACGGATACTTAAAATCGGTGGAAATTTTTTTTGAAGTATCCGCGCATACCAATCGATATTTAAGCGAATAGACTCTATCCCGACCTCACTCTGAACCTAAAAAAAATACTAGTCCATTATTTTTCACTAAAAAGTTAATGAGGAAGGAAAGTGAACTATTCGTGAAAACATATGAATAATTTTTATTATATCTTTTATAATTAATTTATTAATTTCGTCAGTTTATATTATCTTTTACAAAATCAATATAAATATTACCAATTAATCGTAATATACATTTAACACATTTATTTGAAATAACAATCAATCCTATTCCCTATTTTCCCTTTATATTTTTAAGGTTTGATCGATTCTAATTACAGAAAGAAAGAATGAATGAAAGAAAGAAAGAAAGAAAGAAAGAAAATAGTAAAATGAGTATACGAACCATAATAAAAGAAACTATTATGTTCATGCTTAAATATTTTTCGTATTTATTTATCTCGATTATTTATTTATTTTTTAAATAATAAAGTGGAAGATATCTCGAACTACGGCGGCATGGTGAAACATCTGGTTTCCCAGGTGAGGATCGGCATGGATCTCACCAAAGTGACCCTGCCCACCTTTATACTGGAACGCAGATCGTTGCTGGAAATGTTTGCCGACTTCTTCGCGCATTCAACTCTGTTTTCCAAGTAAAATGTCTAATTAAGATATATAAATTAATTTTAGATAAAAAATAATTTTACTGCATCCCAGATTATCATTTACTTTACCCTTTATCATGTTCGAAGGGTGACACAAACATCTAAATTGCCAGATGTTGTGTCTATCAGAGGGACACTCCGCCACATAAAACTTACATATTTCCTAATATTTGTACTCGCGCTAGCCCACCTTTTGTGAACCTTATGGCCTCCCCCTTAATTTAACTGATCTTTAAAATTTTTCTTTTCCTCTAAAGCGCTGGTATCAAAACCAGGAAATTCTAAAGCTAAAACCTATTAAATGATTATATTTAATATTCTTATATATTTATACCTGGAATCGATGAATGATCCAATAACCATTAATGCTTTTTTTTTATTGTCAGCATATTCTTGGTTCCATATTATCACGTCTTGTTCAATAATTTCAGCAAATCTTTACGTAATATCACCATTCCATTGGCTAAAAATAATATTATTGTATCATTTAATTTAATATAATTATTCTTACTCTTTTTGGGGAGAAATGCTTTATCCATTCTTTATCGCTATCAAAATTTAGAAACGTTTCACAGCAAAAAAAACGCAAATATGCGCAATTTAAACGAATGCGTTATTTGCGTTTTAAAACTCTATTAATCAATAAAGCTAAATGACTTAATAAATTTTTTTTTGCGATAAATAATGTAAAGATAAAGGAAACAAAGAACGATAAGTTATATTTTAAACATAGACTTTATGTCATTTAATGCACGATAGATTACTCGAAATTTACAGTTTTATGATAACTTGTTTTCACAATTTAAATCAATTTGTTCAGTTTTTAAATGTCATATTTTCGTATTTTTTTTGCTAGATTTTACGAAATGTAGTTGGGTTTTGGGTGTCAAATAAAATTTCTAATTTAAATTTAAAAAAAAAAAAAAATTGTAAAAATAATTAACTTGCGAAAATAATTTTATAAAAAAACGGTGAAAATTAATTTAAAAACTTTGAAAATAATATAAACAATTTTAAAAAAACTATTAAAATCATATTTTAAAGAAACAAAGAACCGTAGATATAACAATTTGTTTCCTATTATAAAGTGTTTAGGCATCAAACAAATTACAAATTTTACATACACATCATCATTTAAAAAGTAAATTTAATCGGTCTTACCGTGATTTCGGATTAGGTCCGAAAAACCGGACTGAACCGAACCGTTAATGTACATTAAGTGTTTCCTTAAAAAACATATTTTTTTTGGTTTTACCGTATAATAAATATAAAATAGTGGAATTTTTTTTATAATTAAAAATTTGTAGCTTTTAACAATTATTATCTGTTTGGGATTTATTCGAGAAATCATGCTATTTTGTGACCTTTCTGAGCCCGGATTTCCCTACCGGGGTTGCAAGGTCTGTGATATAATATATTTTATTTGAAGTATATGATCTATGCTTTTTTTCAAATTCTCCTTCAGCGTAACGGATAAGGAAACCCCGAAGGAACGCATGACGGAAATGGTCAAGTATTACTTGAGTTCCTTCCACGCCGGACGGAAATCCGCCGTGGCTAAGAAGCCCTTCAATCCCGTGCTCGGGGAAGTGTTCACTTGCTTCTGGGTCAACGCGACGGAAGATGACCGCGTCGATATCGAATCTACTCCTCACCCTACAGCCCGCGAGGAAAATAAGCGCGTTGACGTTAAAAAAGATGCCGCCATCGACAAAGTTTTTTTTTATTAATTTGAACTTCCGAAATTTTATTATCGTTTGATAAATTGGTTGTTGTATTTTTCTTTTGAAAGAAAGAAAGAAAAATTGATAGATAGATTGGTTGATAGATTGATTGATTGAAAGATAGATAGAAAAAGGTAGAAAGAATAAATACTATACTTATTCATGTGTTGATTCATAGCGCTTTCATTAAATTTTTGTGTGTAAACTTTCGTTACAAAAAAAATAAGAAATCTATATTTTTTTTTGTTCAACCACGCCTATCAATTTTTGACAAGACATTGTTAGACGAAGGCCCCGCCTTTTGGTGCGATAATGTCAACGATTTGACATTCGTAGCCGAACAGGTGTCTCATCACCCACCGAGTAAATATTTCGTTTATTTGTTTCATAAATAAATAATAATTGGGAATCTGTATGTTATTTAAAAAGAAAAGAATTAGGGAAAGTTTCAAAATTTTTAGGTATTTAATTACACAATAAAACGAACCCCAAAATCAGGGTTAAAAATTTTAAATTTTTATTGGAAATTTTGATAACAGGAACTTAATCCAAACCGATTTCCTAATGAGGGGTCCGAACCTGCCCCAGTTTCATATTTGCCCCGGGTCTAATGAGCTGTCCTTAAATTGGTCTCTGTTTGTTCTGGGGTTTCAAAATGCCCAACCAGACAATTCTAAATTTTCTGAACCCGGGATCGGGTTCACATCCCTGCCCAAAATCATCCCT